CTTTCTTGTTCTCTCGTATATGCACTTTTTTTTTCCTCATCGATTCATATATATTAGTGCCAATAGAGAAAACAAAAAAACCACATCTATTCTCTTTCTCGCTTCCTAAAAATATTACTGTCTTATTTCTTGGCTGACATCGCTATACATATCGTCGTTCTATATATCATCTATATATTCTATAATATATTATCGTTTAAGAAAAGAAGAGAGACTTGTATTTTGTCTAATATAACTAACAGTAGTGATCCAACCTTGAATTTTCTTAGCTAATTATCCCTGATATTTCCTAAACTCCTACTCACATGCTATGCTTGTCAACAACCTAGCATCTATCCAATGACGAGACTACTCGGGTGGGAAGAAAGCTATACAAGTACCAACACCGTCGTTCTCTTTCTATGTTTATATAGAGTATTCGAGCTTGTTTGCCTCATCATCATCATCAATCACCCCCTACTTGTGTTGCCTATATGTGTGAACGAATCATATAGATATCTTTACTCTTTATGATTTGTTGGCTAAGTTTTTCTTTTCTTTTCTTCTCTTCGACTATCACCACCTATCGATAGCGAAGAAAGATGAGGACAGTAGATAAATAGGTGTTACTAAACCAAATTACTGATTATGCTTTTTTGTTATCACCAACATAGAGGTTTTTTTCTCGCTCTCTCTCTCTCTCTCCTTGTTTATAATTGATATCGTTGGTAGATCTATTGTTGTCTTCAGAATAAGAAAACGACGAGGACAGAATGAAGACTGGCGTCATACGTTCGACGTCATCACATTCTGAACCATCACGTCGTTACCATAATTTACTTTATATTCCATTTGAATCGGGATCTGATTCATCATCAGGTATATCGGCATCATCATCAACAACTCTTCCTCCTATTGAATATATTATATATCCTATTGGTTTACGTAAGGTATTACTTTAGTCTAAGTTTATTTTACATTTTGTTATGTTAAATAAAGTAAATTATTAAAATATATATATATATATATTTTTTTTAATAGGGTCAAGTGCGAAAATTAGAAGATGATTATCAAAGATTTACTTATATATATAAAGAAATCATAACACGTTTGGAAAAATTAGATTCACTTTTATCGGATGCTGAAAGAGTTCTTGATTTAACAAGAATATCAGTAAGTAGAAATAAAAAAAAAAGCCCATTGTTTAACTTATAAATAAAAATATGAATTATATTTCTAGCAAGTGCAAGAAGAATTACGTAGTGTACGAATTCAACTTGATGAAATACTTAATCTTGGCCAAGATCTTGTATCAAAAAGTGAAACATATAGCAAACTTGTTGGCCCTGATATTGAAAATATAACACGTAATTTCGAAGAATTACAACGTCGTATTCGTATAATACAGGTTGGTTGTTGTTTAGTAGAAATTAAGTTTTTTTTTTTTCGTGCTATAATAGTAACATAGGATATTGGGTTGATTAAAACTAGTTTTAGTAAATACAGCACTTAAAAATAGATGTTGCACATAGATATTTCGCTTCCCTTCATATTCTCCTCCACACACAATAATTCTTGCAGGATAAGCAGGATAAACGTATACAAGACCAACAAACGACAACAACAACAACAACATCAAATATTAATCAAGATGATCAACGCGACGATATTCGTCGTGAATATTATTCAGAAAAACGTTATAATCGTACTGAACGTGAATCACATCGTCGATCACCATCAGAATCATCTGATATAAGTACAACACAAGGTGTTATTGATGAAGAATTTAAGAAAAAATATTTACGTTGTTTGGCTTATATGAAATTAATTGAACGTTTATATGAAAATCAATATGATACTGATGAAGATACTGACGTTAAACATCGGAGATTATCCAAACGAGTATGCCTTATATTTTTTTATCTATTTATATCTCATCATATTTCGTTTGTGTATGTTATTTATTTTTTTTGCTTCGTCGCATGTAAAATATATTCTATGCATGAATAATAGGCCAAGATTTCTTTTTTTTTTCTTGATTGAAGAAATTAAATAGTAAAATTTTTTTTTGTTTTTTTTTTTGTTTTTTAGGAACGAACTGTTCGTGATCGACCAGAATATGAAGAAATTGAAAGAATTATACGTGAAACAGAAGAACGAGCTTATATTGTTGAAAAAACTGATGTTGAACAAGCACGTCGTATAAGAGAAAAAATTCGTCGACTTAAAGTAAAAATAATTTATTATGAATTAAAATCAACAAAAAATAAAATATATATTTTTATTTGTCTTTTTTTTTTTTGAAAATTAGGATTGTTTAGAGAATCTTAAAGTTCGTTCTGAACAATATCAAGCAAGTGATGAAGTTGTTCGATATAATGAACGATATGAAGAACATGTTCGTACAACAGCTGGAGCAACAGTAGCAAAAGAACGAGTATGAGAAAAAAGTTTTTTATTTTTATTTTTATATAAATCTTAAAATGGCAATCAGAAAACAAAACGAAAAATCGATTGGTCAATGATGAATAAAAATTTGATTTAAAATTTTAATTTTATTATACATTAAATTCTTATAGAATAACTTACAAAATTTATTTTATTAGTTATGATATTAGTATTTAAAGTATGGATATTTGGTATTCTTTTAGTCTTTTTGTTATATGTCGTTCTCTGTGAACGATTTAGTTTCATGTACAATTGATATTTATTTTCCTTTTTATTGTTAATGGAACATTTCCTGGAATTTGTTTTCGGAAATGTGATTGCATATAGATGTATGTTTTTTTTGTATATATAGCGTTCGGTACGCTTGTAATTAGTCAATTTATATTATGGATGGTACTGGTATTGGATGTTTATGGTTATGTTAACTGAGACCATCGATATATCAAAATATGATTGCCATTTTTTGTTTTGTAGTATGAAAACTTTTCCGTTCTGCTCTAATAGACTATAAATCTCTTGAGAGAACATAATTGTTCATATTCTAAATCAGTAGGGACATTTAATTAGTATTTTTAAACATGCTTGTCATAATTAGATGTTGTTTGTTTTTTTACATATATAAAAATTGAAATCTTTCTTTCTATATATTATTCTAGGAAATGGATTCCGATTTTATTTATGATATTGATGATACACGTTCAGTAATAAGTGAACCAGCACCACAACATAATGCAAAATATCGTAAAACAGTTCATTCACTTGAACGTTATAAAGCTGATGATCACGCACGTTATATTCCATCATATGAAGAATATCAATTACAACCATTATTACGTGTACGTAGTTTAAAAGCAATTGATCATCATACATTAAGTGCACCATCATCACCAATATTACAACCACGTTATCGTTCATATGAACGTTCGAATGTTCATTATACAAAACAAGCAACAAATCAACAAGGTCATCAAGATAATTATCAAAGTTCAATATCAAAATCAGCTAGTATGCCAAATGGTGGTTTTCCAATGCATCAATGTCTCTTGTCTTATCCACCACCAGCACCACCTAGTTTTTGTCATCATCAACCTATGACGTATCGTGAACGTGTTATTGATAGACATGTTGCTGAAAGAAGTACATCACGTGGTGAATCTCGTCGTCAACAACAGCAAGAATCAAGTGGTCATGTGCAACAACAACAACAACAGCAACAGCAACAACAAGTACGTTCAGCTAGTGCAAGTGGACAGACTCAGACACTTAATCGAACAATACCTGTTCAATATCAAACATCAAATGCAAATACATCTTCTGCTGCATCAGGTGGTTTTCGAACAACAAATGCATATTCACAAGAACAATATCCAACTTATTTTTATAATGAACAGCAAAGTAGTGGCGGTGGTGGTGGTAGTTATCGTCAACAAATCAATGATCAACAGATATATCCACCACAAAATGTTGGTCGTCATCCAACACGTATTGCCAATTAAGAGCAAACAAAACTCCCATGTTGATATATATAGAAAGAGAGAGTTAGTCCTACCTATATATTCTACTAGTAGAATAACAAAACATTGTTTGCTGTGTGTATACGTGCGCTTTTTTCTTTCTCAACGTTTTCTTTTCTTTTTTTGTCTTTTGTTTTTGACTTATATCTTTGAAATGTCGGTGCCCATGCGCAGTGTTTTAAGAAAAGAAGTATAGTCTTCTGGAATCTGTCTTCGTTTTTCCTTTTTCTTTTTTTTTTTAAATGTCTATCGTTCTAAATTTCTACTAGTACAATTTGTGTCTTTTTTTTTCTTCTCATTTCTTCAATAAATATATAAGTATTTACTATAAGAAAATGAAATATTCTAGTAGAGTTTTATAAATAAATATCTTATTAATATGAATCCTATTTCGTAACTGTATGATATTGACAACAACAAACACGACGGCAATGCTACCTATGACGTATATGCCATTTGGTTTATTATATAAATATAGTCATATCTTTCCGCCAATGATAGCCATGAGAATACCAAAGGATCGATTGTACAGTGTTGGTCTATTATGTATCTGTATAGAAGAAAAAAAAGACAAAATAGGGCAAGAAAGAGAGAGAGATAAAGAAGGAAGAAGAAATATCAATGATATGCGATGATGTCCTTGCTTTTTTGCTATAATTGTTACCTCCGACCGAAGAAAGCGGGATAGAGAGAGAGAGAGAACAAGGAAAAATTGATCAAATCGACACACACAAAGAGCCATTTCTACCACTACCAAAACAATTAACCATTTTTTCTTTACGCGTCCTCATGTATATACGATAGGCGACCCTGATGATTTCGACTAAATAACTGCTTTAGCTTGCCTGTTTATTTCGCAGTCATCCTTCATACACTATTGACATAGGCGACAATTAGTCGTTGGTTGATTTGCTTTTCTTTGCCTCTCTCCCATATTCTTTTCTTGTTATCGTTGTCTTGTATTGTTCTTATCAAACATAACAAGCAAATCTATCATCACGTTGTCTATTTCAAGATTTTTCTCTCTCTCTTCTCTAATGTACAAAATCTAGTTACAATATGGCATCGCCTACTGAGAAAGAAGAGAACATACCTGCTGATTTTATTCATTGTGTAGAAAAATTACTATCATCTATATCAACTTTAAGTAAACATCTATCTATATTAACTATTCAAAAAGAAACAACAAAATTAAATGAACAAGAATTAACAAATAAACTTCAAGTAAGAAATATTCGTTATTATAATGAAATTAGGCATATCAATATTGATGATAGAAGTGTAATAACTTTGATTATACTATTAATCAATCGAAATCCTTGATAAAAATCGTACAAAGATCACATTACAAGCTTCTCTAATAGATTGAATCTTAACGTATTACATAAGTATAGTAGCTATTAGATCCACGTATAGAAACTATAGTCTCTTTTCTACAGTCATTTATTCTTCTTTAAAAAAAAAAACCAAATTGTATCCTTTTTCATTCCAATCAAATATTTCGTCATTTATCTTCAATTTCATAACTTTTACTATTGAATGAACTTAAAAAAACTACTCTTTTATTTAAATAAACCATGACTTTTTTATGTAAATTCTATTCTTTACAGTCAAAAGAAATAATTTCATTTTAAAACTTAATATACTTTACATCATATATTCATATAACTAATCTTACTAAGCAAAAAAAACAACAAAGAACTCTCTCATTTTATTCACATACACATACATGAGTAATGGTTGTATCACGTTAATATGTATATACATTCTTCTATCTTTACTATTCATATTATTTAATCATCTTTGTATGTTCCGTGATAGCTTGTAACTTTTTCTTTCTCCTACACTTGATTACTCGCCAAACATACACATATATTCATATATATATATATATATATAGTAAAAACATAGTAGCTATTGTGTGTTCGATTCATAAAAGGAAAGAGAGGCTTCACACAATCCATTCCTTTTTTTTTTCTTGTCAATTCTGAAGAGTTAAGAACGAAAGAGAAGTAGCATAGTAAGAACAAGAAAAATCATTCATTTAGTCGATTGAGCATAGAATATAATATTAGAAAACCTTCAACACTTATAATTGTCATAGAACAACATGCTTGTTAATTAAGTAACATTAACATATTTTTAATAAATATTTTCTAGGCTATCAAAGACGCTATTAATAGTCTTGCACCAGCCGTTCAAACAGCAAAGCAACTTGTATCAAAATCGTCACTTGTTGAACGTTTAATAAACGAATATTCTTGTTTATGTAACGATTATAAAAAACATTATAGTCTTAAAATGGTTGATACAAGTTCCTTTGTTGAATACAATCAATATATTGAACGTTTGTCTTCATGGTTATCATCAACAAATGCTAATATTCATGAAGTTTTACAATCAGTTAATAAACAACGAGCATTACTTATCATCAAAGTATGTTTAAAAAACAAAACAAAACAAAAAAAGAAAAGAAGTAAAACAAAATTTAATGTGAAATCAAACTTTCATATAAAAATAATGAGAAAGGCGTAAACGACTTTTGATTGATCGTTAAATGAAAGTGTATTATGATATACAATGAATGGTTTCAACTTTTTTAATATATATGTATATATAAATATATATATATATATATATCTATTTTTTTTCCTAGAACCTTGATGAATTAAGTAAATACAAATCATTATTAGAACGTGCTACAACATTAAATCGTACGATGGCTGCTGATTTACCAGATGAACAAGCAACTAAGATGACAAATGAAATAGCCAATGTTAAAGAACAATGGAGAATTCTTACTGAAGGATTAAATACACTTAAAGAAAGGTTATTTTCTATTCCCTCCCATTTTACTCATAGTTTACTTATGATTAATAGTAATTTTGATGTGTTATACTTTCAATCTTAAGCATTTATTATTAGTATCATACATGATCTAAATGATTTATATTATATATTTGTTGTAGACACGCATCACGCTATGCATCACCTGAACGAAATAAGGAGGAAGATCGTTTAACCAAGCAAAATGAAAATCTCGTTCATTATATTGAAAGTTGGCTTACATTGGCTAGAGAATTAATCTATCAACAAAAGCAATTGACGATGAACAATCACAATATGATTGATGATAGAAAATACTTTCTCGATTCAATGATTTCATCGGATAATGAAATCAATGAGCATAGTCTTCTATATCAGCTTAAAGTATATTATTGATAACAATCTAATATTTAACACGGAGCAACAAAACGTTGAATATGTTCGTTTTCTTTTTCTTTCTTTTTTCCCAAGGAATGTGAACAAGAAGTCAATCGATTAAAAACTTTACTAGATGAAAATCGTCGTACGTTGAAAGGTGATGATATGACAACAAGCGAAGTAACTCGTTCGTTGACTGATGAATTGACAGAGGTGCGTGATACTTTCTTCTTTGTGTTTTCTGTTTCTCTCATCATTATTATTTATTTATAGATTGCTAAATCTGTAACAACAGCACGTATTCAGTTAGAAAATCGTATTGAACAACAACGTGGATTTCTTCTTGAATTAGATTCACTAATTAATTGGTTAAAGAATTTTATAAATGAATCAAAAACAATTGATAATCAAGTAAAGAAAAACAACTTTTTTTTGTTTTGTTTTGTTTTTTATTTATTAAAATCTAAAATATTATTTTTACATAGACAATTGAATTAGCTTTGAATGAACGACAACAACATTTTAATGAATTAATTAAATGTTGTTATATAAATAATCATGAAGTTAAAGATAAAATCGAACATTTAATTCAAATGTGGAATCAATTAACATCAATGAGTATGTTCAATAGAATAAATGAAATTTATTATCAAATCTAATTTCATATTCTTTTTCTTTTTTTTGTTATTTATTCGTTAAATCTAACAACTATCATCACATTATCAATATTGAGTTTCATTTCTTATTCTATTTTAACACATACATGAGTTACATGATCAGAAATAGTCACTATAGTAGTATTGCATGTTAAATTAATCCTTTTTTTTCCTCTATTTCTCTCTACAACGAGAAGTACTAATAATAATCATGACATAAAAAAAAGAAGAAGAAGAAAAGTTTCTACCCAACATATTTAGACATAAAGACCAGGCACATCCCATCAAGACAACAGAGACAAACATATAATTGGATTTCTTTTTTCGCATTCCCGCCTTGACTTGTTTCGTACCCGATATTTATTTATCTAACACAGGAAGTCAAACACTTGTTATTTCTATGTGAACATTTCTTTTTTGTCAATCGTTCTGGTATATTCTTTAAGTAGATCAGTAAATCTTTGTAATAGACAAATCCTCACATGTGCACATATATTCATATATATGTAGATAGACATATTGATAATGACGTAATAAAACATAATAAGTGAGTCTACCCACAATACTATTAATAAGAACTCATTTTTCGGTTGGTTCATTGTGATTAGTTGCAACTGACATAATAATAAACATGGGTATATGTATCGAACATATCTACTCATCGGTGTGTCACCTGTCGATGAAATTTGTCTTCTCTTATTCTCCATATTTTTGAAGTACAGACATATACAGCCTGAGGTAAATTGATGGTGATGATCATCTTGCTCTCTTTATTTTTGCTTTTCTCTATTGTGTGTCTCGTGAGTGAATACAGGATCTTAAGTTCCTTTTTCTCTGTCTATTTTCTTTTTTACCTTTTGTTACTACTCCTCTCACTCTCTCTCTCGCTCAATCATTGAAGAGCAATAGTTCACCTTCTTACACTCCTACGGCATCATTAGAGAAGTAGAAGAGTAACCGCACTTTCTCATTTTCTTTTCTTTCTTACATTTATTTTCTTTTCTCTTGTTAGTCACTGAGCCTCCAACAGTAGTGGCTGCACAATCATCGACACCACCTCAATTATCGTTACCATTATTAGTATCATCATCATTATCTGAAAAAGAACAACAATTTAAATTAGTTGAAGAAGCAAAAGAATTATTAAATACAGCTGTACAATTAGGTAATCATCAAGAAATTGAACAACTTCAAAATAAGATTCAAGTATAAAGAAAGAAAATAAACTTTAATATATCAATTCTTTTTTTTTTTTTTTGTTTTATTATAAATAGTCTCTTATAACAAATATTGATATAGTCATTTTTCATGATCAATCTAAAATTGTTTCTGATTGGAAATTAGATCCACTTGATTCAGGTATGAATATCTATGTTTATTTGTTTTTTCTCTTATTGCTTCTGTTTATGTAGTACGTGATGAGCTTGCCAATCGACAATCGATACTAAAACAAATGTTAATCGATACAATACGTATTGATCAACTTCGTGTTAATTTTGTTTCACATTTTAGTACAGAAAATAATACAACAACAGCAAATAATGAAATTATAGATATTATTGATAATTATCCAAAAGAAATGACAACTGAAATACGTCAATGGTTAAATGAACAACAAAAAATTCGTATAACAGCACCAATAGCAACTATGGATGTATCAAAAAGTATTGATGATTTTGATGAATATCTTAAACAAATTGAAGGAAATATTAATTCTTATAAAGAAAATGAAAATAATGAATCAAAATTAAAGGTTTTTATAATTTTTTCCTTAGAATAATTGAATCATAGTTGAATAATTTATTACTTTTTTTTTTTGTTTATAGAAAATTCTTCAATTAATTGAAGAACGACCTAATTTACCACAAAATTTAAATAATTATGATAAAGAACGTGTTGAAAATTTACATCAAAGATTATTATATGCACAAAAACAAATTGAAGATATTCGATATAAAAATTCGTCAACTATAAATACTGATCAAATTATTAATAATATTGATTTATTGATTAAACGTGTAAGAGATATTGAAGAACAAATTCGAATTAATGTTATACAACCAATTAGTGATTATGGAAGACTTATTCTTGATTGTCAAGTAAGATTTTATATGTTAATAAATTGAATTATTAAGAAATAGATTCAACAAATGAATATTTGTAGATTTATAAAACACTTTCGATACATAAAAAAAAAACAAAAACATAAATAAATCTTTTCGTAGATTTTTAATTATATATAAATTTTCAAAAAATTAGAATTTTATTTTATAAATGATAGAAAATGTTTTAGGAAATCCAAAAGAATCTATAGTAAGAATGATTTATGTTTTTTTTTTGCATAAGAGAATTAATCGATCTCATAATATTGATTGATGACATAAGAAAAATGCCGTTAACTGATGACTTGTTTCTGAACTTTTGTTGATTACCTCGTAGACATTCTTGATATGTAACATTCTTATATTGTTTATAATAGTATTGATAAACAGAAAAGTAAGAAAAAAATTCATCTGGAATATTTCAATTATAGATAATCATTAAATAAACATCTATGATTTACATTTATTTAAAAAACCAGAAGTTAAAATCAATTATTCTTGAATGACTAATTTAATAAGTTCATTTATCTTGTCGTAAAGAAAAAAAGAGAAAAAAGAAAAGAAATTTGAGTATCTCAGATGTTCTCCATCCATTCTTAATCAAGTGACACTCAATGATACTTCAAGTAAATAGAGGAAATAATCGCAATCTCTATTTTTTTTTGTACTTCTAACACAAAAAGAAAAAATGAAAAAGAAGAAGAAGAAAAAAGCCTAGCTATTCACTTTTTCTTTGCTTTCAGCGTATTATTACCGAACTGGATCAAAATCTTCGTCCACATGTAGAACAAATGCTCAATACTGGTAAACGTTTATATACATCAGATAACAAAGATAGTAGTGGTATTGAAAGTGCTGGTATGTAAAAAAAAAAAAAAAAAAGAAAAAAAGAAAGTAATTGTATCATTACAAAAGAGGTCGTCGGTTATAGTTTATTATTATTTGATTCTCTGCATTATGATTTGTTATGACAATCGACCAGTAAAAAAAGGAACTATTTCTCTCTTTTCTGACTAACCCTGACCTTTTTTGTTCTTGTTCAGAATTATCATATAACTATATTTATCTATTTGGAATTCTTAGACGATACTAGAGGTGGAAAATTTGAATTATCATCATCACCATCACCTCCATTAAAAAAATATTCAGATTTAACATTACGTAAAGTTCGTCGACATGTTATTCAATTAACACAACGTTGGAAAAATGCTAATACTAATGTACGACAACGCTTAAAAATTTTACAACGTGCTCAAACGGTTATTATTCAATTTCAAATTTTCTAATTAACAAAAAAAAAACGAAAACTTTCTCTTTTTTGTGTTGTTATTATTTCTAGGCGGTCGAAGAACTACGTCGCAAGTGTGATCAATTACATGCACACTTGCTTGAAATTGAACTTGCTCATGCTCATCAACCACAAATACGAGCAATAAATAGTGAACAAGTACCAGCTGAAATTGAACACACAAAAGTAATTATTTTAAGAAACAATACAAAAATATTTTTAATAGAATCTGCAAGAGACATTTCCCATACAGAAATAGTAATATTTGAATACGTGACTGTTATTTTTATATGATAGTATAGAAATTGAAATTACTTCGTAAGCTTTTATTAATAAAAAAATAACTCTTGGATAGAAAAAATATATCTCAGAAATGGAGGCTTAGAAAATCAAACCATTCTAGACTTTTTCATTGTTCATTAAGACTATATTGAATGAATATAGTCTCGAACAAAAAGTGATTTTATATTTCGAGAGGTTCCTTCGTTAGATCTACGTTTCTTCATACAATATACAAGATAACATAGATCAAATTACTCTAATTTGATATATTAAAAATTTAACAGAACATCACATAAGTATTATATTTTACGTTGATGTTTGTTGTCAAAATGTTCTTCTACGAAAACTATGTTTCAAAATCTTCACTTTTTTTTTTTTGATAGACATTTACTTCTTTATCCTACCACCGAAATGAATACGTTGATTAACTCTATACAATAATATTCTGATTTGAGTTTTATTCAAGTCATACGATTAGGGACGGGAAGCGGGATGATTTCCCTCTCTTAAAGGTTCTCTTGCTTCTAGCCTTTCTCTGTAACGAGTTTTTTTTTTGATGTTTCTTGTAGAACAAATATAGAAACAGTATGTAAGAGAGAAAACTTTCTCCGAAGTTGTGAGATAGAATCATTGATTTTTTCTTGCATTTTACATTAATCTATTACATATTTATCCATCTTTACGAAAATTCGGACTTTGTACCTGTAGAAAAATAAATACTGATGAAGTAGAAGTTAATTTTATTTCTAATGTGTAGTTGTAAAAAAACTAAATAACTCAATCATGTATGTATAATATATCTTCAAGAGAGAGATTTTATCGAATAGAAAACGTCAACAGAGATAAGAATAATTATTTAGTCTTAGTATACAGATTAGATTGTCCTCCAAGGATTACAAAATAAAAAACAGAACTAATGTTTGTTATCGATTCATTTTGCTAATGTGACAGTTTGTACCTATAACCAAAGAACGATTAATGGAATATTTAAAGTAAAAAAAAACACAAATTTTTCATTATTATAATTTTTCTTAGAATCTTTTGTCAAGTCTGATGTCATGTAAAACATCTATTGATGAAATTCAACAATTAGCACAAACAATTGAAAATGAATATGATATACATACAACAAATCGAGTACAAGAACTTAGTCAAAGGTTTGATAAAAAAAAAAAAAAACATAAATATTTTTTATTTTTCGTTTTTTGTTTTTGTAAATTATAATTAGATGGGAACATTCAATACAATCAATATCACAACGTGTACAATTATTACAAGATTCAGTGAAAATATCTGAAAATGATATGTATTCAAAATCAGTTGAATATCCTTGGCAACGTGCTATAGCTTTTAATAAAGTACCTTATTTTATCAAGTAAAAAAAATTTCATTATTTGTTTTTTTGTTTTTCTATTAATTTATTTCTTTTATTTTATTCAGTCATTCTGATCAAAGTACATCTTGGGATCATCCAAAAATGTAAATTAGCAATTTATTTTTTTTAAATAAATATTTAATATTTGATTTTCTTTAAGGATTGAATTAATGCGTTCATTTTCAAATTTTAATGATATTCGTTTTTCTGCTTATCGTACAGCAATGAAACTTCGTACATTACAAAAACGTCTTTGTCGTATGTTTTATTGGATATTTTATTTTTTTTTAATCTTAGTTTTTGTTTTAGTTGATTTAACATCACTTAGTGATATTATAAGTGTTTTTGAAGAACATCAAACAATTGATTTACCAAATAAAAATATTGATAAATATGTTGATATAACAGAAATTCTTTATTATTTACAATCAATATTTGAAAAAACATCTAATGAATATCCACAATTAATTAATATTATAGTTACTGTTGATTTAACACTTAATTGGTTATTAAATATTTATGATACGTAAGAAAAACAAAAACAAAAAAAGAAATTCATTTTATATTTATAATAAATCCTAGGTTTATTCAAATACTATAAATATTAATAAGAATTTTCGAAGAGATGACAACTATTACTCGTTCTCTAAGGATAGAGTCTGTAGAAAAGCAAGTTTTTCAGTTCATAGAATTCTATTTGAATCATCCACAATGATAGAACATAAATGATATTCGCTAAGTTTTGACCTACCTTAATCAATAAATCTATTGATTAAGGTGAATCAAAACTTTTGTGAACATCCTTTATAATTCTCCACAAAATGAAACGTGTTCCAGGTCTCTACAGCAGTTTTTTTGATCGAGATATAGCAATCTTATGGAAAGCATGAAAATCTAATTATATATTAAATCGAGAATTTGATTTTTAGAAATCGAACTGGCTCAATTCGTTTATTAGCAATGAAAATGGCATTAGCTTTACTTTGTCGAGGAAATATTGAAGAAAAATATCGATGTAAGTTCTATATAAAAAACTTCTATATATATATGAGGTTTAATGTTTTCCATTAGATATTTTTTCATTGGTGGCCTGTCCATCAACGGATAATGATGTTCGGGATGTTGTTGACAGACAACGTTTGTCGATTTTATTTCAACAAGCAATTGTTGTATGTATTTATTTTTTAAAATAAATTGAAGAAATAACTAAAGATTCATTCGAAATTGAGTCATGATATTTAATTTAACTAAATTATCTTGAGATTTGAAATAAAAAAAAGAAAATTGAATTTTCATTGATCGCTACTTTTTTTCAGAAAATATTCAAATACATTTGATTGAACATGTTTTTATTTTTTTAGATCCCAAAACAACTCGGTGAAATTGCTGCATTTGGTGGATCAAGTGTCGAACCAAGTGTAAAAAGTTGTTTTGATTATGTAAGAAGATTTCTTTTTTTATTTTAATATCTAAATATATATATATATATATTTAGGCACATAATCCGAATGTATTAACAGCGAATGATTTTCTTGAATGGATTAAATTAGAACCACAATCACTTGTTTGGTTACCTGTTATGCATCGTTTAGCAGCAAGTGAAGCAGCTAAACATGAAGCACGTTGTAGTATATGTAAAATATATCCAATACTTGGTTTTCGTTATCGTTCATTAAAACATTTTAATTGTGACATATGTCAAAGTTGTTTTTTTTCTGGTAAACAAACAAAATTTTTTAAAATGGATGATCCTTTACAAGAATATTATACTGAAGTTTGTTATTTGGAAAGAAAAAAAACATATTTTGTTTATTTATTTATTTATTTTATGTAGACAACATCATCAGAAGATATTCGAGATTTTTTTCGTATATTTAAAAATAAATTATGGACTAAACATCGAAAACAACCTAAACTTGGATACTTACCATTACCACATGTTTTTGATAATAATATGTCAACAACATCTCAACCAACATCTTCTCCTGTATTAATTCCAGTTTTAACAACACCATTCAAGTAAATAATTTCAATTTAATTTTGTTAGACATAATTTTAAAAAAAAAAAGAAAAAAGAAGTGTTGAAGCGTATATAGTGTACAAATTTACAATCATTCATCCATAGACAAACCATGACCGACATAACCATTGAATTGTCACAAACCGTAACGCATATGGTTGATATACAATCATAGACTGTGACCAATAATATTGATATACAATCAAAGGTTGTATATTAATAACGTCTCGTTATAATAGATGACCTATGTCATTATTTTATGTCTGGAGGGTTAAGTAGGAGGATGGTGAGAAAATACCCTACAAAATAGATAGAATACAATAAACGCTCTATGATTAACAACATTGTGTGATAATAATTTTTATTTTTTTCTATTTAGATCTGACATTGGAAGTGTACAACCGACAGGTTCAACTATTGAATCGTATGAAAAGAAAAATTTTCTATATAGTATTTTAAATTTTTTTGTTTTTATGGTTTTAGAACTGATGAACATGGCATAATTGCACAGCATTGTCGAAATTTGAACAGTTTTGTACATGCTTCGGTATGAATATATATATATAAAAGATTATTCATATTTAATATAAATCAAAAATTTTAATTGAAAACTCAACAAAAAAAATTAAACATAATAGTAGAAATTTAAGTGGATTCTATTAGGGTTATGCAGATGAAGTAACAAGAGATCTACTTGAGATGTAATTCGCCGTTTGAGTTCACATGGAGACCACAAGAAATCTCAGTAAAATTAGAAAAAACTTAAAAGAGTTCGTACTCATGAACCTCTGAAGTCGAGTTAAGACCGTTTTACTGAAATTTCAACTTGTAGTTTTACCCATTGATAGATTTTATAACCCTTGGAATATTCTACAAGTAAACTCGGTTTTTGTGACATATTTGTGGCAAGCAACTGCTTGTTAGAAATTGATTATCTTTGCAAAAGAGCATTCTTTTCGGATATTCTAAGGGTCATTATACATATCTATTAGCTGAATTTCAGATCGAAAATCCTGCAAAACAGTTTTAATTCGGCTAGCGAAACTCATGAGCCCTAATCCTTTCAAGTTTTTTAATCTTTAGTCTTACTAAGATCTTCTTATAGATTCAATAAGAGTGTCAAACAAACAGATTACAGTTGAGATAGTTTCCTCGTAAGTCCAATTCAAGAGCAAAAAAATGTTCATTATCCAAAGAAGTTCATGATGTAAATGAATAAAAATCAACAATTATTTGTCGATATTTTAGCCTCGTGTTGCTGCCCATGATATATTAACACGATCTCGTTCACTTGATAATGAACAACGTAATGAATTAGAAGCTATAATTCGTGATCTTGAAGATGAAAATCGTTTATTACAAAATGAATATGAACGTTTATGTCAACAACATATGGAAAAATCTTTAATTATTAATGATCGACAATATCAATTTCATCAAAGTGATAGTCAATTAGGTTCATTATCATTAATAAATGATTATAATACAAGTGATCGTGAAATGTTACGTGAAGCTAAACAATTACGTCATCATAAAACAAAATTAGAACAACGTATGAAAATACTTGAAGAACATAATAAACAACTTGAAAAACAATTAAGAAAATCAAAACAATTATTATTTCGAGAAGTAAGAAAATAATTTTTTTTGTTTTTGAAATATTTTATCAAATATATATTATTTAGTCACCTTCATTACATCATCATACAAGTAATGGTAATATGACTGAACATCGTTCAACAACAATATCAAGTCCATTACATAGTTCAACATTAGGTTTAAGACGTTCAATGGAAAGAAATTTGGAACGACAATCAAGTAATTTTTAAAATTTTTAATACAAAAAAAAAATTTTTCATTTTTGTTTTTTGTTTAATTATTAGATTTAATAACAATTGATAATCTATTTCATATGGCTGATGATATCAATCGTGCTGTTGGTGATCTTGTTTCTGTTATAACTGAACCACAAACGAATAATTCACCATCTTATTATCAACAAATTGATAATACAGTTGCATCTTAAACGAGCAATTATGCATGCTCTTTTTTTTTTCTATTCTAATGTTTGTGTGTGCAATGCAATCAAACAGTGTGTGTGTGGGTGTATAATTATTTAGTTGGAACTATATTCTCAGGCAGTGTTAGTCAAATATATAACGACTAATCACATATCATTTGTTTTTTTTTTTCTGTTGTGGAGAATTTGTTTTTTTTTTTTGCGTGTCTAAGTCATCCTTTATATATGTATGATTTTTTTTTTCCTTTTAATATATATATATACATTTTACCATGATTGCAAAGAAATAGATAATAAAAAAAAAATAATATTTTAGATGTCTTGAGTTTTTAACGTGATGATTTTATTTTTTGGAAACAAATTTTTGGATGTATGGAAGTTTTTTAATTCGTCATAAAAATCCGTTGTTTGGTTAAAAACAAATAATCAGAAGAGAATAGATTATAATCAATATGAAATAATTGATAATTTATTTTGGAATATACATAGTTGGTTGTTTGTTTTTGGTAGACAAAATTATTCTTGATGAGTATTTTTGAAATACGATCTAACATAAATGTCGAAATATATAGAGTAGAAATTTGTACTCTTCACACGAACGTGTCAGACATCCTTGGCAACGGATCTCCTTGATCATAGACCGTGACAGACACCGTGCTAATAGTTTGCTCTCTTCCCTTTGTCACAGATCGTATATCAATAATGTTTAGTTATAATATATGAACTTCTTCCTTATTGAGTTTCTAGAGTAATGAAGTAAAACTTTTCATGTAATATCTTTAATAATAGAAGATAAATTACATTCATTATTCGTTTAAAAAAAAATTAAATAAGTAATAAAAGATCTAGTTTTAATATATTATTCTTGTCTATTCAGCATTACTCAAAAAATGATTAAACAAAAAAAATTCTCTTTAAAAAATAATCAAAACAATAATATTAAACTTAATTTGAATATTTTTTTCATTATAAAACTCTATATTGTATTTTGAATCAATTGTCAACATAAATTTTAATAAGATCGAGAAAATTTCTCATCAATTTATGAAATACAATAATTTAGATTTTTCTGTAAAATTTAATTTTGATCTTGAAAATTTTCTAGATCGAATATATATACATATATCATTTGTTTTAGATATTTATTTTCATATATTTTGAAAGATTCTTAATGGAATCCCCATTTTCTGATATGGATTGGCTTGATACAGCATCAAATACTCTTGATCTTGCAATACAAAAAGGTCTTTATACAGAATTTAGTCATCTAAAATCTGATCTTGATCGTATACGTTTTATACATAATCATCGTACAAATCTTTTATCAAATACATTTGAACGTTATTTATCATCAACATCATCATCATGTTTAACAAAAAATGCTACAACAGCAATAAATTTTCGTAAAAAAGGTAATGATTATTTTGTTGAAAAAGATTTATCACGTGCAGCATGGTGTTATCGTGCAAGTATTGCATTATCAACAATAAATAGTCAAGATATGGCATTATCATATGGAAATTTATCAGCTGTTCTTTTTGAATTAAGTCATTATCATGAATCAATACGTGCTATACAATTAGCTAATGATTTTTATCCAAATGAACTTAAATTTAAGTAAGTTAAAAATGATGTTTATTTTTTCTTTGATTAAATTAAATTTTGTATTTTAGATTAGTATTTCGTCGAGCTGCATGTTATCATAAATTAAATGATCCTGAACGTAGTGCTTATGAACTTAAAATATGTCGTGATCTGATTAAAAAAACTGCTGGTCTTGATAGAAAAAAAATTGATTCATTTTGTAAAGAAATGGATCATTTAAGTCGACAAATAGCAATTTTAAATAAACGAAAAGAAGAAGAAGAAGAAGAAGAACAACAACAACAACAACAACAAATTAAAAAATCATATAAAAATCTTGATGATCTTATTCAAAATTCACAAACACCAACTGAAACAATAGCTACTTGTTTATTAAAATCAACTGAAGAAAAAACTACTGATGAATTTTGTCCACCATCACCTCCATCACCACCTCGTAGTACAATTCTTATTGATGAATCAAAATTATTATTAAATGGACCTAATAAATATATACCTTGTGCTAGTTCAACTTTACGTCTTGCTTATTCAAAGGATAAAGGTCGACATATAATTGCTAATCAAGATATTCCATCGGATGTATTAATACTTAATGAACGTCCATATGCTTGTTTATTATTGCCTAAATTTGCTTATACATACTGTGATCACTGGTTAGTGAATGTCTCTAGGCGATAGAAAGTGTTTTCTTTTTTACTATGGAAAATTTTGATTAGACGAAATCTACATACAACAGACTACTATGAAATTGTGACATTGCAAATATATAATGAAATTTTTCTGATATATAATTAAGTTGATAATTATATGTTTGAGTAAAACAAGACAAAAATATTCTCAAGGTTGAATTATAAATGATAGATTAAAACTCTGAATATCAACAATTAATGCAAAGTTTATACCGAGATCGAGATGTTGATGAATATAATGAGAATTTTTATCTAGGGAAAACTTACGAGGTGTTCAACTGTGCTTAAAACCGTTAAATTTTTGAGTGAGTGAGACTTGTATATGTTTCGGACTGTTCAGTTTTCTGCACAGTAAGATGGAACTAAGCTAAATAGTTTACAATTTAAAGTTTTGTTGAGTGTTATAGATGAGAAAAATCTTGATCTTTTTCAGTGACACTTCTGTCTGATTATATGACTAGTTTATGCTAATAAACGAAAAGTAAAGATTTTAATAAATTTGATCGGTTATTTTTCACACTATTCACTCAAAATATGGAAGTCAAACTAAAATTTTACTGTTGATAACTAAAGATTTTTGCATGTCATATTAATCTACATGCATATAGTCAGTGGAGCTATGAGACTAGGGTAGATTCAAACATTTATTTCTCGTACCATCAGATTGATAGATTTATGGAGTGCATCGGAATTCTTATAAGAAACATCAAAACTTGTTTACCAACGTTCGACTATAAATAGTAATATTTTCGTAGTGAAGCAGACTTAGAAAACTTTCTTGAGAAAATATTGAATGTTGTATTACTAAATAATTGACCCTATATTACTAATCACTTGAATTATTACAATCTTGTTACAAGTGAAAAAGATCTGTATGAGAAACTCGAATTAGATAAACTAAAAGCTACCCAAAACTTTTCTTCGTCTTCAGCAATTAATGTTAAATGTCTAAGAAACATTTTTAACAAAATGAGCAAGTCCACAGTGTAATTCATTTTCTTTCTGTTGACACTACTATTTCATTCTTATTCTGTTTTTATTTTTCAGCAAAGTAGATCGAAAACTCTTCTTTCGAGAATCGACATGAGTTACAAATAAATATTGATGTCTCTCGATACAAGCTGCACATTTTTTCTGAATCGTATCACCTTTACACAGTGCAAAATGTGAATTGGTAATCAGATGCACTAACTGTCTTTCATCTAAATAGTATAAAAAGATTCATTCTCGTCTATTCCATGTCTGCATATTTATATTTCCATAGAAAGAAAAAAACAATTTTAATCTTTCTAAGATCAATAAAATAAGATTTTATTTTATAAAATTTCAGTTATAATTTTTTTTCAAAGATTTAAATAAAAATTAAAGAGATTTTTTTTTTATGCAGTTTAGAATAATCATCTATTATATTTTTCTTTCAATTCATATTTTTAGTTTAACGGCTATTGTCATACCATATGTATGTCCTCAATGCTCTCATGTTCTATTCTGTAGTGAACATTGTCAACAACGTGCACTTGCTAGTTATCATCAATATGAATGTAAACATATTCATATACTTAAAACATTAGGCATAGCTTTTCTTGGTAAAAATTTAATTTAATTTTTATTTTTTTTTGTCTATATATATATTTTTTTAAAAACTTAATATTCAATTTCTTTAAGCTTATCGTACATTGACAATAACTGATCATGAAACATTATGGACAACAATAACTCAAACAACAATTCCGAATGATAATGAAGAACAAAATAATAATAATCATAATAATCATAATAATAATAATAATAATATATATAAATCAGATTATTCATCGATACAAAAATTAATAACACATACAGAACAAATGTCTACTGATGATTTATTTCATTATTCTTTAACAGCATATCTTCTTTCAGAAATAATAAAATCAACAAATTTTTTACGATGTAATCAAATAAAAAAACGTGATACTGAACAAATTTTACTTGCATCTATATTGCTTAAACATATTCAACAAATGATATGTAATGCTCAAACAATATCAATAACAAAAACAAATCAAATTGATGATATTATTTTTGATAATGATGATGATCATGATGAAATAACAAAACGTTTTGCTTCAGCTATATTTCCAACATGTGCATTAATGAATCATTCATGTGTACCAAATATTCGTTGTGTATTTGATCAAGGATATTTACGTGTATATACAGCGAAAACAATACGACAAGGTGAAGAAATTTTAAATTGTTATGGTCCACAAAAATCTCTTATGCCATCAATTGAACAAAGACAAAATGTTCTATTAGAACAGTATTTTGTAAGTTGAAAATATTTGTTTCTTTTTTTGATCATTTATATTTTATTTTTTGAAGTTTAAATGTCAATGTGAAGGATGTAGTGAAGTACAAAAGCCTCAAATTGAAACATTAGCAAATGGTGAGAATTAATTTAAATTGTTTTTTTTTTGGGAGATATTGGATATAATTGAGAAATTTACTTTTTATAATTTATAAATTTTTCAATAAAAAATAAATAAATAATAGTTAATATAATTAGAAAAATAATCAAGTTTTTATTTTAGAATCTACTTTGATACAAATGAGAATTTCGATTTTGGGTACTTTCATTTTCTTTTTCAAAAAAAAATTTTTGTCTTATATTCCGTAACAAATACTCTACGAATACAATATGTATAGTCCTTGTTTTCTACATATACCCTAAACACAAAAGATGTTTCGTGTGAAATGATAATTATAATTGATAGGTTAGAGAGTTATCAAAACATAAACATTTCTTTAGGAAAAGTTTTTCAGTCTAATAAACACGAATAACTTAAATGAACTTGTGGATATTATAATATGAGATCACAAGGAGCATAATGACATCAATTAATGTATGTATTAACTATTTGTTTACATTTTGTGTATTTCACTAGAAGTGCCAGATTAGTATTAATTTTAATTCTAATACATATATCACCTATGACTATTCATGATCGAAAGTTTCCTATATCCGGAAGTGTCATTCCCAAAACAAAACAAAATTGTTCGATTTTGGGAACTTCTAAACTTAGTGTCGAAAATCTAGTCGTTGGTAATCTATATATTAGGATTCAAAATAACGCTAGTTGAATACAGCAATATCGGATTAATTAATTCTAATGCAAATAATATCATAGTATTAAGGTTAATTTTAATATTAATTTCTAAAACATTAGCATTAGTATTAATAAATACTAATGATAATTCTAATACGACACTTCTATATTTAAGAAATCAAAGGTATTTAGAACTTATTCTTGAGCAGTCTATATTAATAACCGTCAAATCAACATTACAGTGTTTTCGTGCAACACTAAGATTTATGTGCATTTGACAGGAATGTCTCGAACGGAGAAGAAGGGGTCGGGAAGATGATTTCCTCAGTATAAAGGAATTTCATAGTTTTCTTTTGATCATCAATTCCAAAAAAACTCTCAATCTTCTCCTCACTAAATCCGATCAACTTTAGCAAAAATCTTTCAATCAGTCTTCTAAGTCATCGATCCTCCCCCCCTCAATCCTTGCAACCTCGGAATACTCATAACAATAGAAAAGAAGCGATAATTTCTACAGTAGAAGTGTATGAAATCATAGAGAACTTTAGAGAGTTGCAAATATTTTCAAATAGATAGCTAATATCAACGTCAGAATTAAAGAGAGATGGATATAAACTCAATAGATCGACAATGGTAATAAGTAGTGATCTGTGGTTTTTAGCAATCGAACAAGGAGAATTTCGGACGCCTTTTTGCCTAATACTATATAAGACAAAACAATTTTAAAACTCATCATCTTCACAAAATATTTAAAAAGAAAATGCTTGAAAACGGTAGTTCGTTTCAAGAAAATTTTAATAAAAAATCGTAAAATTTGCTAAAAATCAACAGAATTCTATATAATTTGATCAAATAGATATGTGATCTTATTTTTTCAATATTTATATATAAGAAGATAATCATCTGAATCATGCCTTGAACTATAGATACGAAATCTCTCTATCTGAAGTATATGTTAAAATCAAAATTACATCGAAACATAACATCGTTTTTATGCATTTTTTTAAATATTTTGCGAAGATGATGAACTCTAAAAAAATTTTGTCTTGTATAGTATCAAACAAAAAGCTGTCTGGAGTTCTCCTCTTTCGATTGCTGGAAATCGCAGATCACTAGCTATTGCTGTTGTCAAGCTATTGAACTTATACTCATCCCTCTTCAATTCTGACGTGAACATTAGTTGTTAGGTTCGATTAAACTTCATATAATTCGACGCCGATCTAATTGAATATATATTTTCAAAACCTAGTAGGTTTAACAAAATATTATGAGACTCATTGAACTATGTTAAGTTTCAATTGATTTAAATTTGAAATATTTTATTGCCTAAAAAATTAACCATTGTTTGAGTTTTCACTAAATTTTAGCATTTTTTGAAATACTCAATTTTCATGACATCTAAAACTTCTTCACCTTTTTTTTTTTTGTTTTTTTACTTGTTTTAATGAAATCAATCTTGAAAATGAAATGATCAAATAACATTATTTGTATTCTTAAACACGTCATATTCATTAAATTTTTGATACTAAAATTAAGTTTTAGCTAATAAATTAACTTTATAAATTCTTTTTCTAATATCATTTATTTGTGTATTTTTTTTCTTTTTTGTTTTCATGTCGCAAAACGAAGATATCTACAACACGTAAATTACATAATCCTAAAACAACAACAACAACAACAACAACAATAATGAATAATTCAACTGATCATTCTCAATCACAATCATTAATTGTTCATGATAGTCAACAAACAAATGATTTAACTCGTTTTTATTTAACAACATCTGATAAATTACTTGAAGCAAAACGTATATTTTCTCAAGGTTTTTCATCATATACACAAAATCATTCATCATGGGAACAAAGTTTAAAATTACTTAGTGATTCTACACGACTTTATGAACAAATATTACGTGAAATTAATTTAGATACTGTAAATCTTTATGAATATAGTAAACAAAAATATTAAAAAAAAAATATAAGAAAAAAAAAAAATTATTTTTTTTTTTCTTATAGTTGCTTCAATATATAATGATCGTAATCAATTTGAATATACATGTATGTATTTAAATAAATGTATATCAATATTAAAAATGAATTTATCAACATCATGTTCATCAACAACAATACTTCTTGTTGATGTTCTACGTAAATATGCTCAAACATTATTTAATTGTCGAAAATTTGATGATGCTCGTCGAACAATAATTGAAGCACAAATTTTACTTGATCAAATGACATCAACATCAACAATATCAATAAGTGAAGATGAAAAGCGTACTATTGGAGTTTTACAGACAATAGAAGATTTAAAAGCAAAATGTGATCTATGTCTTGGTTAATATCTATTCTTTTGTTTTCTTTTTGTTGTTGTTTCTCATCTGAAATTGATGCAATCAGTTCTCTCTTCTTTTTTTTTCTTTGTCATTGATTATCGGTGCTATTTAATGGTTATTGTTCATTCTCAGGGATAATGACCAATTCTTTTTTTGATAGATTCATAAAGAATAAGTATTGTATTCATGTGCATGATTTTTGTTCTTGACTGAAAGTCCATTTTTTTATATTAATTAAGATTATGAGTATATAATTGTCTTTTTTTTTCTTCTCTCCATCGTCGATTTCTGAGAATGGGATGATTGTTTATCTATGTTTAAAAAGATATCACTGAATTATTAAGTTTCAAAAGAAAAAACTAAACAGAAATTTGAAAGATTTTTGATAAGAAAAAATTAATTATTGGAATCAAAAAAAAAAAGAAATATGATTGTGATGAGAAAAAAAAACATCTGAATGATTCAGTATATAAATGAAACGATTAGAGCATATGTGAATGTGATTGCAAAATAAAAATGTCAAAAAACGATATATAAAAGTATAATACAGAAAAAGATATTGTTCTAGTATTATTAATAAAGACTTTATATTTTGATATTAGAAGTATAACATCTATATTTTAAAAGAAAAATTTTTTTGACGGAAGATAAAAAAATAAGTAGCATAGTGCAATAACATAGATAAATGAATAAAACAATTTCTATTACATAGATGCATTTTTATTTTAGTTCTTTTTCCAACTACATAGGATAAATCAGTAAGAATATTCGATATATTGATAAGATTATTATCATATCGATTATACAGAGATCACCAAGATTGGCGGAAGATTGAGTTCATCGGGTTCGAAAATTTTGAACTTGATGAGCTCAAATCATATGAGAAATATGTAGGATGTGTTAGTCACCGAATATAAAAAGCCGGAAAAAGATATCTCGTATTTTTCGGATAACGAAATCTATTGAGAGGGACATTCCTGTTCTGGACATTCTTGGTTGTATAGTTGTTATGTGAATATTATTTTTTCTAATGATACCAGCTGACTAGTGAATCATAATGTGTGGTACCTTTTTTTCTTCATCTTGAAAGAATTTGATGAAAGAACATATGTTGGAGTGACTTCGACTGACATGACTGTTCATTCTGTTATGATAACCTTTGATAAGAAAGAGAATAAGTTTAATACTGAAGCTGTCATTCTCATCTTTACAAACATTGTTCGTTCATATATCACATGTGAACACGTTCTCGAAATCAACTATCACTCATTGAATTTGTTTTTCAAAATATCTTAATAATTGTTGCATTGGATAAGTAGAGATTTGATCAACATCAGTTTGTGTTTCATTAAAAAGATTGATCATTTGTTCATGTGACATTGTTATAACTTAGGATTGTTAGCATCATGTTTCTTCACATTTTTTAAATAGTTTTATTTTGATGCTTAACTTTCGTAATATCAAACAGTAGAATGTCTCTTTTTGACATTTTTATTTTCGACCTTAGTCAAGGAAATTACAGTTACTTCATCATACAAACAAATAAATTAATATAGAATCAAAAATGCCATTTTAACCTTCGATATTAATGAAATATGTATATAAGATATCTATATCATTAGCAATGATCCATTTTTTTATGTTGACTTGAATAGTTTCTCGATAAATTTTCATTTGATATATTAATGAAAATAACCTGAGAGACAAAAAAAAAATCTTCTTGACTGATTATACTATGCTTTAAGTATTCACAAATCTTAGGCTTAATGTTTTATAAGCAAAAAAGTACTATGATTAAGTCCTATATCATGTTTAAATCTTTAGAATTTAATTAAAATATATACGCTCATTTTCTATTATGAAGGTAATTAAAAACTTGTTTGTAAAAGAGAACAAACAACATGCAATCAAACATTTGATATTGAAATAATTATTAATCAAATAATTAAAATAAAACTATCATAGTTACATGTATTCAATAGTAACTCTAGACAACAGATTTTCATCTGAATGAATCATTCTAAATATAGACAATTATAATTTAATTAATTTCAAAAGACGAAAAAAAAACACATGAATTTATCATAGAATTGAATTCTATGTATGTGTATCTTTTTTTTTAAACTTAAATAAAGTTTGAATAATATTTTTTTTGTTTGATTTAATAGAATAAAAAAACGGCAGAAATTAACACAAACATACAAGAAAAAAAATGGTAATGATGTAACTTTTTTTTTTTTCATGAAAATATTTTCTTCTTATTGAACTCTTCTACTATTATTTCATGTATCTATGAAATAGAGATACAATTTCAATAAATTGAACATATGAATATATTAAATTCTTATTAAATTTCTTCAATTTCAAATTTTGAATATCTATTACATCATTTGATAACGTAATCTTGTTCATTGGTAATATTCTTTTTCTTATTATTATTATTATTATACCATAAATTAAATGCATGAGGCGAAATAATTGAATTTGTCATTGGTGATGATGAAAGATATTTTTTATTAATTTTTACACGACGTTGTTTAATTAAATCTCTTGATATTTTATTATTTGTTTTATCAATTGTTAAATTTTTTAATGAATCTAATAAACATAATGATGTCTTCTTTTTTGATATCAATGAATTATTATTATTATTCTGAATATTATATTCAGATTTTATCAAATCAATATTTTGATTTTCAAACCTAATTATATATTAATAAATAAAATTAAAAAGAAAAAAAAAAAAGGAAAAATATTAAAATATTTCAATACATTTTTATTTTTGTTGGCTGTTGTTTAATACATGTATAAATTAAACCTTTTTGAATATAATCATTATTCATTTGTATTTGACATATTGAAGATGATTCAATTTGATTACAATATATTCTTGCTGCATTATTAGCTGGTAATAATATTAATAAACATAGATCATTTCGTATAGAATCTCTAATCATTTATATATAAATATTTCATTTTCTTTTAACATCTGTCATAGTAACATAAAAAGAAGAAAAAAGAAAAAAACTTTTCTAATTCTTAAAGATTAAGATAAAGCCTAATAAGTATGTCATATTTAAAGAAAATGATGTATGTCTATGCATTCACATTTATACATCGAGTTTTTTTTTTTTCATCATTTTGACATTGATTTCGAGTGGAACACCCTCGATCGTTTGTGCTCAAACAAAATCATTGCATGTGCTCAAATCACAAGTGCGTGTCCATATTGTACTTTGTGTAGTCCTTCAAGGCCAACTGATGTAAACTAACCTCTACATATACATCATGATGATGACGATAATGATGATCTTCTACTTTTTTTTTATCGACTGCGAGTCATTTTAAGTAGCACTCGATTTCAATTGTGTACATGTGTGTCGTTTTTACTAAGTGAAGTTCAAGGTTATCAAACTGATTTCGTAAAAATGATGAGTGAATCTTGACATACCAACAAATAATAGAGCGAGGCTTTTTTTTTCTTTGTTCTGATATTTTAATAGATAGCTTAAATGTAATAGACTGTTCAAGGTAATAATATAAATATTGTTTCAATGAGATAACTGACATGTAAATAGAAATTATATATGTCTTTAACAGTAATTTCATTTTATGTCTCTTTATCTTAATCAAGAAAGTTGTTGACCGCCTGGGGCATTTCATTCTCTTTTTTTTTTTAATCATAAATATCTAGTTCGCATCTATTTTGTAATTACAATATATGTGCCTATATTTAGTTTGTATAACATTGGTTAGAGAAAAGAAGGTGAAGTAATTATCCACACCTCAGCATTTCCACATATCTGATCTTCTCTTCCGCTCGTTTCATTTCATTACACCGGGATTTCATGTCTCTAATTATGTCTCGTATACAAGCATCATCATAATATGTGGGTGTGTGTGTTTGTATGCACCGTTACAATAATAGAAGAGAAGAAAGAAAAGGAAAAGTGAGTTTTGCCTTTTTCTCTCTCGCTCTCTCTCTCGCTCTCTCTCTCTCTCTCTCTCTCCCTTCTTTCTGACTCGCTCTCCCCCATTATGCGCTTGAAAGAACATGGATGTTGTATCTTTCTTTTTCTCTTAAATCTCTTTCATAAGCTCGTCGTTTACTAACTACAACTTTTCGAAGGGATCAAGTAAGTAAGTGTTTGACAAGTAGTCAGACGAGTAAGTTCAAAAGAAAAAAAAAGAAAGAAAATTTACGTTCTTTCTTTTTTTAACTAAAAGGAAACAACTGTCTGACATTTATAGTTGTTGATGAATATGATCATTGCTCATTTAATAGAAAAAGAAAAACGAGATTTAATGAACTGGATTTCCTGTGTCAGACTCTATTGACCAATGGTCGGCAAATATATCTTTTAGAGAGAATACATAGGATTGCGTGCCAAATTGAAATTGGACTCGAACAATCTTCTCATTGCTTGTGCTCTCTCTCTTCTTCCTTCTTTTTTTTTTTGTAATCGTCAAAATGGCTCCCATCGAAAGAGATTAGAAATTGTTATTTGTACAAACTTTACCGGCACGCATGCACATCAGCAGATGGCACACATATATATGTATGTATGTATGTACCAACCGTATTAAGATTGTTTCTTCGTTCATTCATTCATTTGACCATTCTTTTTTTTTATACGCTTCCGTAAATTTTTCAAGAGTAGAATGCGGTAATATCTATCGATTATTAAACACCAGTCTATTCAACTGGAATGAAATAGAAGTACTTGTGGCGAGAAAATATATGTCAATCAAAAACGACACAATCTATTTAGTGATTACGAGACATACACCTGAAGTATCGTTAACCATCGACTTGACATATATATACAAACACTCAATAGAAACAGCAAGATTTATATATATATATACAGTTACTGTTTTGCATTAAAAGAAGAATAGAGGTTATCACATATACACATACATATATAAAAGAAATGGAGAAATGAATGTGAAGCATCAAAAATAAAAATGTTAGAAAAACATTATAGAAACGTATATGAAAGAATGCTTAGTCTCGAAACAGGATATCGTATAAATTAGGTTCGTTTTTCCTTGTTTCTCTCACTATGTACAATCAACCTTTCATTTCTATTATTACTTGTTTTACTGAAAAATTGCAACCGTATGTATCATCTGTATATTCAACATTGAACTGTAAGATTTATTTCGTATTATTTCTTTCGTTTCTTTGTTTGTGACTATTGTCCCTTTTCATGATGAATTTTAAACATGATTAATTTTAATCAACACATCTAAATGATAGGTGTGTATAGATTGCATGTTTTATTTTTTGTGGTTCATTTCAATAAAGTTGATCTATTTCTCGATATAAATATGTTCACTTATTTTTCTTTTTCTTTTTTCCTTTTTTCTTTTTTATTTTCTTGTTATCTTTCATTTTACATCGTAGTGTATTAACTTGAGTCCACTTGATAATGATCCCTATCATAGTCAATTATAGTACATATATATATACATGCAAAACGTCAACATTTTTGTGTGATCTATGTCGAAATTGGCATTCCTGCTGTCATCCATTAAAACATGGAGCCGACAGGCGATGTGTCCTTCTCATAAGCTGACCTCATCCACTCTTCGAAAAAAGAAAAACGATGAAATGACACAACACACGCGCTATACTTGATAATCGCTAATTCAATTAAAAGGATGCTCATACCCACACAAAAGAAAGGGAGGGAGAAAACGAACGTTTATGTCATTTCTCATAAAGTAGTAATAATAATAATAGTAGTATGGTTTAATCATGCGAAACAGTGAGCAGACTCTCTCTTCATAGCGCATACAAATATTATGTACATTATATACTCAGGCTCAGTTCATTCAATATCAATCGATAGAGTCGATCAATCAAATCAAAAAGAGAAAATCGAATCGAAAGTACGTCAATAGGTCTGTCTTAAAGGTTTTTTTTTCTTCGTTTTTCGATCAGTATATTTATTTCCGATCATAAAAGATATTACCGATAACCTTTGTCGATCTTTTTCTTCTAAAGAATAAATCATTATCTCATATATAACAAAAGAAAAGAAAAAACGAAAAAAAAAAATCTCGTTCAAACATTTATATTTTATATAGAATATAAAATTTCTTCGATATTCTTTCAGACGACAACAGTTGTTTTGAATGATTGACACTTATAATATTCATTCCATTTGTTTTTTTTACCTATCCTTAGGCATCGGTCTTTCTTTTTTTTTTTTGTTGAAATACAATCCAATTAGTTTTGATGAACAGTGTCGTCGGTTTGTTATATTAGAACTAACAACAGAAGAAAAAGAGATTATGGGAGCAAACAGAAAAAAGAAAGCATCATGCTGATTTTCAATCTATTTGCGCGCGATCAACCGATATCAGAGAGAAAAGCAAGGTCGTTCGTATATATATATATACACTGAACGGTTGAGAGAAAAGAAAAACATCGCTTCCTTCTTTTCTATTTAATCATGTACATACAATTTCTAATTACAACAGTCGTTTTTCCAATCAGTCGGTGTCACATTTCCCTTTCTCTACTTTTTTTTCTCTTTTTACTTTAATCCTTACATTATTCGTGTGTTTCAGGTGATGGGCAAGATTAGATGACAATGGTGACGATGAGCATTATTTGTTTATTCATATTAGTACTTATCTTGCCAAGTACTAAACAATTTGATCTAGGTAATAAATAAATAATTAAAAGAGAAAAAAAGAGAACTAATAACTTTTTTTGTTTTAAAGAAACTTGTCGATCTCCGTTAGGAATCGAAACAGGTAAAATATTAGATTCAGCTTTTTCATCAAGTAGTCATACTGGAATAAATTCAACAGCATCACAAGCAAGGTTCAATAATTGAATTTTTTTCTTTTGATGTAATAAAATGTTTCTTTTTTATTTAATTAGAATTCGAAGTGAAAATAATGGATGGTGTCCGTTAAATAAAATTTCAACAACAACATATGAATATATACAAATTGATTTAGTCAATGTAACCGTTATTACACTTATTGAACTTCAAGGAAAATTTAGTCAACAACCAGTATGAAAAAAAAAACATTTTTAGTTTTAATTGTTTTTCTTTTATTTTTATCTATAGAATGAACAATATGCTGATTCATTTCGTATTGAATATCGTCGTGAAAATGAACAAAAATGGATTAAATATAAAGATTTTTCAGGGCAATATGTAAGGAAAATTTGCTTAGAGAAAATCTTTTACTAATGATTCGTTTATGTTCTTGTCAATGAAAGTGATTAATCATCATAAATTTTAAGTATACATTTCTGTTTTTGACCTTGATTAATCAGGGACAAATGTTATCAGACAAAATATATTTTCCAGAAGAAAAGAAATATATACAATCATAATAAAAGATATATTTTTCTTTTAAACTTTTCCTTTTTTTTTTTGTTTAATCATAGATTTTAAGTGGAAATGCAAATAGTCATATACCAACTATACGTGATATTTTACCATCATTAATTGCTAAACAAATACGAATTATACCGATCGTAACTACACTAAAACCTAAATATATTTGTATGCGTTTAGAACTTTATGGATGTTCGTATGGAGGTTAGAGACGATGTTTTTTTGGTATTCAAGATTTGAGAGAGAAAAAAAATGTTTGCTTTTTTAGATGGTCCTATGTCTTATTCAATGCCACAAGGTGATAAACGTAGTTATGGCGTAGAATTTGTTGACGAAACATATGATGGATATTATGAAAATGGAACATTAAAAGGTAAATTCAGTTTTTGTAGGTTCATTATTAGTTTTGACACTCGTTTAAATGACTAGAAGAGATTGAAACTTTTGAATTCTTTGAAGTTTTGATAGTAAAACTTTCTACATTGGTGTTTTATAATATATATTTGTCGAGGTTTGAAATGAGGCGCCCGATCCAACTCAGAGAGATTTTCCTCTGGGTCGAGTAGCAGTGTTCAATGTGGATTTTACTTTCCGACGGGCAAACACTTATTTTTGGGAGTACAGACTCGTAGCGCACTAACCATAAACTCAAGAAGACCAACCTGATCTTCGGGGGGCGATATTCACTCGGTCTCTACGCTGAATAAGACACTGCCGGACAGGCCTATACTTTTGTCGAGCCATCTGGCCCGACCTTAGGAAGATTTCTCCATGTAAGAAAGTAGAAAAAGTCTAATTTTTCAACTTTAAAGATAGATTTCATTTGATCGTGATCTTTCTTAATCGTTTTGAAAAAAAAATCAATTTCAATCGATAAAACTATATTGCCCTATCAAAGAAAGATTAAAATCAATTGAAATCTGTTTTTAAAGTAAAAAAAAATCAGATTTCAATCCCAATTAAACAGCGCTATTTTAATTGATTTTAGTCTAATTTTTCGTCAAAATTTTTTGACATGAATTTTATACCTCGCAACTGGTAACAATCAAGAATCTTTATTATGCAAACGTTTTACAAATTTCATTTAGTCAATAAATAAAGGCAGAGCATTTATTTAGTTCAATGATATTCCTCGTCTATACACATTCAAGTGCACTATCAATTGCATTAAGTGGTATGAGTGTTACTGAAGTGAAATAGTGCTAACAGTGTAACTAAAAATAGAAACCGATTTGACTCTTTGAAATTGATCAACGTGCATTTTACTCGTGAAAGCTTATGTTAACAAATGATAGTCTTTAAGAAATTGGACTATCCACGAATACATCTTAGACTTTCAGCTCAATAAGTAATTCGAATTTATTGAACTTATGATCACTATTATAATAAACTTTTTATCATGTTCTCATAAATGACTGCAGAGATTGTGGAGTTTCGTCTCGTAGAAATCTTTTTTGTAAAACAAATATATTTTTAATAATGCCATTTCTAAGTTAGATCGAACCATCAAAAAATAGTCTGATTTCAAAGCCTAATATTCACATAAAGATGATGTCTCGATCGATACTAATCATATCTGCTTTATATTGATCCTAAAGAAAACTTCTTTCAATGACTAAAAACTTTTAGTTTTTTTGCTTTAACATTAAAAAAATGGAAAAGATGAAACATTTGTTATATAACAAGTTTTCACGCAAAACTTATAAAATCATCACCATTCCTTAGACATGATATGTATGATCGAGCTGAAACTTTTTCTAAACTATTGTACTGCTGATTTTTGGCAGATTTTTTCCAAAAGAAAAAGGAAAATGATGTTCAAAACATTATATGGTTTTTTTATTTAAAAGAAAGGAGATAGAAAAAAAACCTTAAAAATCAATCCGGTACTCAATGTGAATACACACGTAAGAGGCGATCATTTTTTACTCTCCCTTGGAAGAAAGCATATGAGAATTTTGAGTTTGATGGAAAACGGCATAGAAATCTTCTTAAAATATAATAAATTATCGTTTATTAAATTCTTTTATTTAGGTGGTCTTGGTCAATTAACTGATGGAATTATAGGTGGTGATGATTATCGTTTAACAGATAATTTTCATGGTATTGGTAAAGTTGGTCATGATTGGATAGGTTGGAAACGAAAATTATCTTTACCATCAAATATAAATCTTTATTTTAATTTTAATATAATAAAAAATTTTACTTCAATTCATATACATGCATCAAATTTATTTCTACGTGAGATATATCTTTTTAATTCAATTATGATAACAAATTGTGACGATAAAATTCTTCGTAAAACATTTTTAATTATACCTGATGATTCAATAAATCCACATGCAAGATTTATTAATATTTCATTAGTTTCTGGTTATGGTATAATAACTAATTGTTTAAAAGTAACATTAACTTTTAATAATCGAAGTAAATGGATACTTATTAGTGAAGTTCTATTTGATTCTATACCAATAATTACTAATATTCCATTGCTAACAACAACAAATGTTAATTATTTACCACCTTTAATTGGTAAAAAAATAAAATAAAAAGCTTTTATATTAAAATTTTTATTTTTAATAAAAAAATCTATAATTTATTTAGATAATGGAATAAATCTTACTCAATATTGGTATTGGTTATTACTTGCATCAAGTCTTTTTATTCTATTAATTGTTTTATTAATATTTATTTATTTTCAATGGATTCAATCATCTCGACATCGACGAAAACTTCATGAGTAAATAAATATAATCTATATTACTGTTTATTTATTTATTCTTAAAATTCTTCTTATTTAAATTGATTAGAATGACAGCTCATTTAAAATTTGATTCAAGTTATCAACCAATTTCAATAAAATTTCCAGTAAAATCACGAATGCAGTGTTGTTATACTACGACAAGTGACAGTACTAATTGTAAGTTATCTTTTGTTTTTGTTCTTTTTTGAATGAATTTCTTTATATAATTTAAATAAATTAAAAGCGGAAAGTAATTCAACATGTTCTATTTCACACAATGATATTCGTCGTCAGTTAATTATTTCAACAGCAACTTCACCAAGTGGTGGTACAGGTACGAGTGCTTCAGATTTTGGTACAATTAGTACGGCAAGTCCAACAACAATGTCAACTGCTTATCAATCAGTTGTTAATCCGTATTTAACAGCTGTTACACAAGATGCACTTACTGTGGTTAGTTTAACTCTGAAAATTTGAGAAACTTTATTTTACATGAGAGAGAATATAAGATCGTGGTAAATCTTAAATTGTTTACTAACTTTTACTACGTAAATCCCTGATTACTGATTTCTGACAAAGATAACAGAAAAGCAGATATCACAGATAAAAAAAAACGAGAAATATTACTTTGCTAATACCAATATTTTCCTGGTTACGGTAACAGCGACTATTCGTTCCATTTCAATGATACACGCATACGATTATCCTCAACCTTAACACTAATCTAACCTTCACCTTTACGTGTGCATCTTCATTTTTACCTTCACCTGTATCGTCTCATCCATCTTCAAGACAAATAATTTTCGATTTTTGAAACGATAGAATTTTTTCCAATTTGTAGAAATTTTGAAAAATTAAAATTTACAATAATTGTGATATATAGATTTCAAAATTAGTATCAATTTAAGATTTACTACTCCTTGAAAAATTATTTAATTTTTCATATTCGATTGAAAATTTTGAAATATATATTTAGACATCAAATCCGTATGCTTCTATTGATGTATATACAAATCCAATAACATTTGATGAAACAATTAATATAAAAAAACCAATAAAAAGTATTCAAGGTCCATGTGGTAATAGTATATATCAATCATTATCTATAATAAAAGATACAAATGTTAAAATAATAATTCCACGTATTCCTGATGAACAATTAATTATGGAAGAACGTTATTCAACAATGGATGGATGTTTTGGAACGGTAAGAATAAAAAAGTCTTTTTTTTGAATAAAATATATTTTAAAAATAAAATAAAATAGATTATTCGAGGTTATATTTATTTTCGTCATCCATGTGATATACTTAAACCTGTACTTATTAAAGCTCTGACAACAAATGATTCTATTCAAAAGTAAATTTACAAATAATTTAATTATTAAATTTTATTAAAAAAAAAAATATATATATATATTCTCTAGAGAATTATTTAATAAAGAACATGAATTAATGTATCGTTTAAATCATCCAAATATAGTTCAATTTTTTGGTTATACACTTAAACAAAACTATGCTCTTATTGAACATAGTAACTTAGGTGATCTTTATACATTATTGTCAACTACACAATGTATTCAACATGATCAAGTACCACTTACGTAATATGTCTTATTCAATTTTGAGGAAAAAGAAAAGTAAATAAAATATTCTTTGTTTTTGTTAGGTTAAATGTTCGCCTTCTTATGATAACACAATTAACAAATGCACTTCGTTATCTTGAATCAGAAAATATTGTTCATCGAGATATAGCTGCAAGAAATTGTTTAATTTATCCAAATTATGAAATTAAATTAATGAATTCAGCTATAACATCAATACAATTTCAATCACATTATTTTAAAATAAATGATTATCGTTTACCAATACGATGGATGGCACCAGAAACAATTGCAAATGTAATTTTTGTTTTTGTTTTTTCTTAAAATTAATTCATCTTTTTTTTTTTTTTTTTGTTAGAATGAATTTAGTATTCAATCAGATGTATGGTCATTTGGTATAACACTTTGGGAAATAATGACAAATTGTTTAACATTACCATATGCTTTATTAAATAATGAACAAGTTTATCAACGATTAAGATTAATGGGAAATAATATAATGAAATCATCAGGTAGTTTACAATTATCAAAACCAGAATATTTAAGTAAAGAACTTGTTGATTTAATGCTTGAATGTTGGCGTCCATATGGTGAAAGACCAACATTTCATGAAATATTTACTTTTTTTAATAAACGACTTGACGGTATTAATATTATTTGACATTTTCTTTTTCTTTTTCTTTTTTTTTAATTTAGTCATTAAATATTTGTGTGTGTGTGTGTGTGTGTTTATTTGTTTGTCATTTTAATAGAAATATGTACATGAGTGAATATTAAGAAACACATGTTTCAATCTCAGGAGAAGTTGTTCTTTTTTTTTTTCTTTGAATATATGTGGAAATAAATATTCTTAATCATAAAAAAAAGAATAAATGTGTTGTTTTTTCCTTCACACCGTATAAGTTGGTTGTTTTAATAGTAGTTATAATGGTTTGTGGACTTATTGAAAATATATTACGATAGTTATATAATATATCTGTGTTATATTGATTTCATAATTATGATTTGAATAAATATTCATGTTTGTAACCTTGAGATAATGTTCGATAAACAACATCATCATCATCATCATTTTAATAATAGTTCACTTTTTTTTTCAAAATGAGATCATTTGGTGGCTTATATTTAATGATTTCAACAGATATAAATGATCAATACAACATGTATTATGTTTAGATAATCGAATATCGAATTGACATTGAAAACTAGATGCATATTGACAAAGATAACCATTAGAAATCATCTTATTAACTAAGTCCCTTCCCTCAAATGTCAAGCTTCGTCCAGTGACCGTGACGTTTTCAAGAGATATTCAACAAAGAAGGATCAAACATACCTCATTTAACAATCCAAAATTCTCTATGTGCCTTTATTCTATGTATATACTTAATTTTTTTTTTGTTTGAAAGAGCATGTCAGGTTGCAAGACATTAAAGGGCTCTTGTTCTTTAGACTCTTACTTTTTAAGAGAAGAAAAGTTCAATGTCGCGAAAAGCTCTCGAAAAATGACACTCTAATTATAACAGTACTCTTTTACATAAAAGTGACAAAGTTTAATTCAAAAAAGAAGGACTCTCTAATGCTCTGCATATTGACATGCTCTTTCAAACAAGAAAAGTGTTCAATACAAGGAATGAAGACACGCAGATAATTCTGGGTTGCGCAATCAAAAAAAACGTGAATATTTCTGATTAAAAAAAATATTTTTCAAGCAGAAAATAAAGGAAATCATCTAAAATTTTTGGAGAAAATGGGATGTCAAATAAAAAAAAAATCGTAGCCTTTTGGGACGGGCTTAAGTAAATGTCTGTATTTTGATAAACTTTAGATTATAACACAAAGAGTAGCGAAGATATTACAACTGAAACGAATACAATACCAATCAGTACATGATGGTTGAACAAAACTGATTGATCATAATGAAATTAAAAGATAAATAGTTTATTTATTTAGAACAGATAAATTTTATTTTAATCAAGTTTTAAATATATTCATCTTTTCATTGAAAAAGAATGACTACTACTGCAATATGACAAATTCTATTTTACTAAAATAAAAATCTAATAGAAATAAATGTAGAAATTTTATAACGACACAAATATTGATTGGATTTTCTGTTGATATTATCAAATTTTTAGTTATATGTCTAAGAAAATATTATTATTTTAACAAGAAGTTCTTAAATTTATAAATGCAACAATGTCTTATTTTCTTTTTCATAATTATTTATTCAATGTACTTGGATACACAAATAATAATTATTGTGCGCTGTGAAAGACCGAGATAATTCTAACAAACAAAATCAAAAAATTTTTAATATTAAGCTTTATGAATGAATATTTTAGATCTTTGTTGATTGTCATACACGTATGCATTCGGAATACGAAAAGTTTTCGTTTTGCTCTAACGTCATTGAAAATTGTCCTTGTATTCTATTTGATTATTGCTTATCAATCTATAAAGAATGTATAAAAAATATCGCTTATTTTTGAATATAGCATTATTTCTGAAACAAAGGAAAAGATGTCGAATACTTTTCTTTGAAATTTAATATATATAACAAATAATAATATCTCAAAATAGAAAGTAAAAAAGAAATATATTTTACAAATATTTCTAATAGAAAAATGATCACTTTTATTTTAATATTAGATCTTATCTAATTTCTAACTTGGTATTATAAATTTAAGAGGTATATTTGAAGTTATGAATACATTATTCATTGATTTTAATTGTTGTATTGTCAAGAAAAAAAAATCTAATAAAATTGTATTTTAAATAAAAAATAAAAAAATAACTGAGAAACATGGATTTTTTTACTTATCTTTGTAGTATATGTAACTGTGCAACTGAAATCTGCTTCAAAACGATAAAAAAAATAAGTCAATATTAATTTTGCAACATCATATCCTGCTCATAATCTTATTTTACAAGATGATTTGTATAAAAGAGATATTTCTCTTATTTTATTAACTATATTATATGTAGTTTTAATGGTAAATATACTAATATCTATAATATCTTTTAATCGAATTAATGACGGAGCCAGAAAAAATATCTGTAGAGAAGAGCTCCGCTCTCGTTCGAAGCTGAAAAGTAGATATTTACTTCACTTATAATATAGGATCGTCTCATTTCTCTAGAGGAAGCTCAAAGGTTTCTGTAGAGGCTTCGCTGCTAAATCAAATTCGTTTTCCATTATAAAAATGAATTTATCTATGAATACTTATCTCGATAGAATTAATTTGATTAATAAGAAAATAAACTAAAGAAATGAATGTTTGGGGAAACAGCTCGATTGCTATAAACAAAAAAATATTTAATTATTTAAGATCCTAATACAACTAAAGAGATAAATAAATCAGTACTGTATTGGATTGAAATAAGTCTTGAAGTAGATAACTTTCTTGACAGAATTTTAACCATTCAAAATAATTAAGACTATGTAGTTAATATTCTTTATGATCATCTTTTTATATGCAACGAGAGATTCAAAATATTTTAAGATATGCTGTTCTACTCATGTTCTCTTAATCAATGAAAATGATAACTTTTTAAATTGCATTTTATTTGAAAACAACGAAAAAAAAAAGAATTAAGTTTTAAAAGTATATTAGTTTTTTGTTTTACAAATTCAAACACTATAGCACTAAAAACATCAAGCGCACAGTCACAGAACTTCATTTACAATTCAAAATTACATCTTTTGTTCTTCAATGAATTAAAAGCAATATACCTACAAAGAGAAGGAAAGTTTTCATAAATAATACTTTCATTAGCAATAAAAACTACTGCTTCAGTAAGTCCTGGTAATTTATTGATATATTTGACATGTATTGTCACGTGAAGCTTTATCTACTGAATAATGAAAGTAATTATTTTATTCAAGGTAGCTAATATGCATTCTATCGCACTATATATCAATAATATATGACATTATGAAGGTCTATTGTCAAAATAAAACACAATAACAATAATATTCTTTCCATTGCTCAATCAACGTATGCGATTCTTATCTTTCAAGCATTATTCATAATTCAATGATCATTCCTATGTACAAAAAAACCTATTATATAAAAAATGAATTTTACTTGTAAGAAATGAATAAGAATGAATTATCAATAGAAATAAAATCTTTATGATGAATTTCATGAGAGAAATAAGTAACGCATCAATATTTAATTTTGTATCTTAATTTATTATTTATATTCCAAATATCATTTTCATTAGATTTAAAACGATGTTTATCATGATTATTACATATAATTAAAATATTTTTGTAAAACATCTAGGCAAGAAAAAAGTACAGTGCTGTTTTATTCTTTTGATCGTCATATTTATTTTCTTATTTTTGAGATTAGAAAAAACAATCGTCTCTCTCAAATAATTGCGTAGGTAGAAAAAAGCAAGCTGGTATAGTCGATTGATGAAGTGGTAATGCAGCTTTTAAATTTTTTCTTTTTCTTGTTGTTAAAGAATAAAATGCCTGCATTATTGACATTCAATCACTTGTATAAATACAAACATACATACATTCAAACGTTTTCGTTCGCTTTGTCTACTTTAATACGAATTCAAAAATAGAGAAAAAAGAAAAGAGATGATGGTCAATTTAAATTTATACTGGTGTCATGTAATTATTTTCTTTTTGATTATTCTACTTTGTACTGGTCAGTGAAAACAAAAACAAAATAAAAATTGTATTTTTACTGTAGTTTTTTTTTTGTTTTGTCTTGAAGAAAAAACTTCATCTCAATTCGTTACTATTAGTTGTTATGAATGCACAAATTGTTCTGATCCATTTACAATTACAAGCTCGGTTTCTGTCCTATCGTCATGTTATTCATGCTATGTAAGACTGTCTAATTATATGTTTTGTTTTAATTTTTAAAAGTTATTTAACTCCGTTTTTTAATCCTTTTAGAAATATCCATAATAGATGTTCGTAAAATTTTGGTTTTCTTCGTAATCTTCAAATATTTAGTATTAAATGCTCGTATTTTTTCAATATTTTTCCTCCACTACAGTTAAATTATGAGCTTTTAGTGAATCAATAGAGATCGAAGATGTCTATCGATTTGGCAGCAATTTTTTCTTTTTAATCAGTCAGGACGATTCGATGGCGACAAATTCTCAGTTGCAATTGATATCTCTGCTAGGACATCTTTTCAATTTATTTATTTTTTCTTGGAAATTAAGATTTTCTGTGTTGCATTCTTCATATTGCTAATAGCAAAATCTTGAGTATTGTCTTGTTGCAGTTTTCAAACATAGTTTTTGATATATTAAACAGCGATCATGATAATGATTGCTAATATTTTATATTTTTGAACACTTTTCTGAATTTTCGAAAATATAAAAGATGACTTTAATACTGCGATATGTAAAACAAAAAAAAAAGATATTATCTTGCATATTTCTTGGACTCGTTCGAATGAATTTGATTTCTCGTAGATCTATGGATATGAGGCCTTGATAAACTAGTAAGTCTTCTCGCATGGATATTCTTACTGAATAAATCCTTTAGAAATTGGCAATTACCATTGCTTATGCTCCTTACAGCTATGTAGTACGTAAATGTGTTCCAGCTTGTATTGAAACATTTCAAGCATTTGGTGGAGGATCAGTTATAAGTGCTTGTTGTACTACAAATCTTTGTAATACAAGTTCAATGATAACATTTCCATTGATATCTCGTATTATACTTTTTATATTTATCATTTTAAATGTTATAAAAAGTTTTTATTAATATTTTCATATTTTCATTGAATGATATAAATGTTACTTTCTTATATTGTGGATAAAAGAGTTATAAAAAGACTTGGAATTATTGTAAACAAAAATCGATTTTTCCATGTATATTGAAAATATATTCCTAATGCATTGTTGCATAATGATGATGTACAACAATCTATTTCAAGAGATGAACCACCCCATATACCATTTGTTGGAGTACATGTTTGAACACATTCTTTAATAACATAACGTGGAGCATAGGCCATAAATACAGTTAGTTTCTAATGAAGATAAATATAGTCAAAAAAAAAAGAAAGATGATAAAACATAGAGAGTCTTCTTACATAACAATAATAGCATGATGCTAAACTTTGACTAACATTAGGTGAACTAGAATCGAACGGATCACCACAATCAATACATGTATAGCAAGTAATAGTTTGTACCGGTTTGATTTCTATTAAAAATATTTTTAAAAGAAAATAACAGTATGTAATTAATGAAAAAAATTCTATCGTTTTTAAAGAAATATTTGTACATAAGAGAAATTCAGTTTGGATTCATTCGTTATTTACATTCAAGAAGAACATGTTTTTTTGTTTAAGTATGAATTAGAAAACATCTGTACTTCCTTCAGAGGTTTTCGAATGTGACAACATGGAACTGGTATAAATTAATTTACAACATAGAAAACTCGATTTGAAATCGTTTTTTCTAACGTTCTCTTAGATTATTGACTCTACACGATGAATTGCTTAAGAAACTTATATAGAGTTTTTACGCAATTACCTTCCTCTCCGCCCGTCAGAATGGTTTTTCCAACACTCTTTTTTGAAAGTCTAGCGGTTTTTTTGACGGGGAACTGGCACCTACCAAAAAATCCGGTTTGTAAGTAAAAATCATTGTTTTTTTGTAATAAAATTTTCTATCTTTTCTAATAAAAACCCTAATTTTCGACTAAGAAAATTCTAAAAAGATTCGTGCTTATAGACTTCTGAAGTAGAGTTATGATTATTTGACTGAATTTTCGATCCAACATTAGGTATTTACCGAAAAATCAAATAACAGCATTTCAATCTGAAATTTCGCCCACAAACGGGTCAAACAACAAGTAAAATATTCTGAAAGTTTCAGCTGGAAAAAATGTTTCTTTGTTAAGATATTGAATTTCCAAAAATATGATCGTTTGCCACCAATATATCAAACAAATCGAGTTTGCTTGGAAATTCAATATCTTGACAAAAAAAAACATTCTTTTCGTTTGAAACTTCGAAGATATTCCAAAGATTATTAGACCCATCCTAAGGGTAAAATTTCAAATCGAAATTCCATTATTTGTTTTTCTAGTAAGTATCTAAAAATGGATCGAAAATACGGTAAAACGGGGCACAATTCGACTTCAGAAGCCCATGGGCACGAACTCTTTTAGAATTTTTCTAGTCTTATGGAGGCTTTCTTGTAAACTCAGTATGAGTTCAAACAGTGGATGTTAGTTCAGGTAGTTTCCTCGTTAATTGTTAAAGACATCTGTGTTTGAGTTCCATAAGAGTTTTTCGAAAATTCTTAGTTTTCTAAGTAAAAGTTAGCAAAAAAAAAACAGTCCGCAATAGGATGCCATCTTTAGAGGAGCGATATGAATTTACATAACAGGAGGCCATAATCATTTACTCTAGTAGATATAATTATATGTTTAGAATGCTTATTAAATAAAACATCAAATTTCAAATAAAAATCTCTAGAAATAGTGACATATTACAAAGATTCTGTATAATGAATAACTTACGTATAAGAAAAGTGAACAGTATAATCAATACAATTATAAAAGTAGCAGTCATCGTTTTCTTGTTTTATTCAAATATAAAAATGTGAATTTATTGTTTTAAAAAGAAAGAAAACAAAAACATGAAATATAATTGTTTTTTTTTTCTTGTTACTTGAAAACACCACTTATTGAAGGCTAATCCTTTTACATATTTCATTGTGTTTGAGTCTATTCATCAGATTCCATTAGTCGTAGCCAAAGATGTTCGCATTGTTCACGTACAATCCTCGGTGGCACAATACGTAAATGAACAGAAATCAATTCAAAACATATGACTGATGATTGATAAGTTAGCCATGGATAATATTCATCTACCAATGCTCTAATAGGAAAAACAAAAGACAAATATAATATTTTAAAATCATGTCTAATAAAATATATTGTTACTTATAGAAATCAAAATGTAAGACACCAGGTGGTTGAGATTGGACAAAAGCTTTATAAAGTCGCATTGAAGCACCCTAATAAAAAAGGGATTAATTAAAATAACATCTTTTAAAGAAATCTCGAATAATATCTATCTATTTGAAAATGAAATCTCTACGAATAGATTGTTTATGATCTCTATCATGTTGTATAATATGCTATTGAACACGTAATCGTCGGTGATTGTAACAGTTTGAATTTGACTTTCATACAGTGATTAATAATTGTTTTTCAAAAATAATCAAAATTCAAAGTGATTTATAAAACGAATCAAAATATATCTTATTCACATTATCACTAGATTCTTGGCGTAATTAATCATTCACGAGAAATCGAAGTTCAAATAAACAAGTTTCAAGAGTAAAAAAAGATTTTATCGTATCCTTACTTGTTGTTAAAAATTTAAAGTTCTAGTATCAACACACATTCTAATCATACACCTTAACGTTCTCGTATTTATATTTAGTTATTATTCAATTAATATACGTACGTATTCAAAACTAATAAAGGTGTTCACTTTTCTATACAGATTCGTATTAAGATAGTTCAAATAAAGTTTTACAAATCAAAAATATTTCTTAATGAAGAATAGCGATTGTTCTCATTGAATACAAAGTTTCTGGACTTCCACAACGATCACAATTACGATCAGGATATTCGATCTAGACCCAAATTTCTTCCATTAATCCTCATAAAATATCTTATTTCTACGAATACTTGGCACACTCCATAATGCTTAGCAGTATTCATTTCCATTAAACAGTACTTATTAACAGCCCACATTTAGATCACACTACAGTTCTACAGTTTTAGTCCGCTAATTGCATTTCGAGAGATGGCATCATGTGTCAGTAGACAAAAAGTACAATAGCAATTTCGTAGTTGAAATGCTTCAGTTGTTCAATCAGTAGTTAGATTACTGAACAAACCACTTAAAAATCTGCAATATCAAACGATGAGCCAGTATGAGTATATGCACGTACACGATGGATTACATCATTTTGCTGAGCAGTATGTTTTATTTTGTAAATACATGCTATTAACCATTATGAAGTGTACCAACTTTTTATAGGATTTCGGATTTCTAAAGAAGTTAATGAGATGAATTTGAATCCAGATGGAAAATTCTTTGAGCCAAAATTCATGTGACTTGGTTTTCAAATTTAATTAAAGATCAAAGTATTTAAAATTCTTTTTTTTTTCTACTTATTAAATATTTGTTTCTTTTAATTTCTTTCATTCTTAGTTATTTTTCTCAAATATCTATATCAAGCTTCTGTAAAACATACATTACTCTCTTGTAAACGTAATGTATAATTATAAGTAAAATGTTCGTCAGACATCGTATATGATGTAAAACCATGTTGAAGTGTTGAAAGACACTCTAATTCAAATGCTAATATCTAAATAAAGAAAATAAGAAAATGTCTTTGATAATATTCAAACTTTTTTTTCTAAAATATATTCAAAGTCATTGTAATGACTATTTGTTAATGTCTGATGTTGATAATCATTAATAATAAGTGTTGGTGTAGAAATTTGTCCACGTAAACGATTAACAAAAACAAAATGAACAAGACCAGGAAATTCATTACGACAACTAAAATAATTGTTTTAAATGGAAACAAAAATATAAGACTCTTTTCTTATTTTTTTCTACGAACAAATTCATTGTTATATTTTGTTGTGATTTAACTTCAATAAATGAAAACCAATCTTCTAATCGTAATATGATTTTTTTTCGAAGTATTTTTGTCATTGGTGAAGTATCATATTCATTTTTACGAAGTTTTGTTTCATTTGGACCAACTCCATCCATTTGTACATCTGATTCTTGATCTTGATCTTTATCAGTATCAATACCACTTCGACGAGCATATTCATCCGAATCAAAAAATAAATGACGAAATGCATCTGTTGATAAACGACTCATTTCAGTTAAATGACGAAGAATTCGAAGACCACTGAAGTGAAATAATAAAATTATAAAAGATTTTTTGTTTTGTTATTTTAATACTTTCGATGTCTTTCATCGTTATTAACATTTGTTTTTGTTGATGATTTATGTAATGCATATGCTTTATTTAATATATCTGTTAAAATATTTGATGGATGACCAACATGTTCAAACTATATGAAAAAAAAAAAACACAAAATATGATTTTTTTCTTTCGATATATTTTTTAATTGATGAATGTAGTACATATCGTCGAACAGCTGCACTACTTTCGACAGATTTAACTTGTGGACTTAATTTATTATATGGAAATAAACCATGAACAGTATATGAATCAAGATGACGAATAAGTTCATATAAATTTGAACAGACTGCACTATTTTCCCACTAAAATTAAAAATAATAAATTCAATATATAAAAGCAATTTCTTTTATTTTAGTTCTATAATCTAGAAAATTAGGATTCGAGTATCTTCGTCGAATTTATCATGTCAACATTGAATATTGATAAAAACTGAAAATTCTTTTTAAACAAATGATATATAGGATATGATTTTATCATTCAAACACATATTCTGGCAACTTTATTAGTGAAATAAAATGGATAGAATATTGAAATCATTCAACTAAAAACTTAAATGAATACCTTCACAATTTCATCAACTAGGATCATGCTTTATTATTTATAAGGAAGTACTTTTGACTTACCTTAAGTAATACTACTTTGTAATATCATCATCGATAGAATAATTTATTCTGTCCTGTCCAAAAAGATCTGTTAGAACAATCTCAGCGAGATTAAAATGTGAAAAACAATGTAGCTGCGTTTGTTAATCACAAGGAAATTATTGTATTCTCTCTATTTTGAGACACATTTCTGAGTCATTCTTTTACATAATCCTCTAGAAATACAATAAGGAAAACGCTCATATATTATAATGAGATATTATTGATATACAGTCTTTCATTGTAAATCAATAACGTCTGTCAAGATCTACGGTGGAGAGGGAGATACAAATTTCTATCCTAGATACTTCAACACTTCTTTTAGGTCATGTTTTACAAAATAAAAAATAACAACTTCTTTCGAATGTTAACTTGTTTGAGTCGATATTTCTTTCATGAACAAATATAAAATACTTACTTCGACAAGAATAAGTACTGAAATATTATCTGTCAGTGGTATTGTAAATAATGTAAAAGGTGCAATAACTTTATTTGATGTTCTCAGAAATACTACTTCACTTCGATGAATTATTTCACATTTTTCATTTGATGCTGTCAGTTCTGATGAATGAAAATTTGGACATGATTGAGCCTATTTTTTAATATAATAAATATTCAATTCTTTTAAAAAGAATGATTTACTCGTTCTACTACTAATGAATATTGAAGACTATTAGTTGTAGTTCTTGATGAATTTGATAAATCTTGCTTATGTTTATTTAATTTTCTTTGAAATCTATGATTCATTACATTTGATAAATTTTTTTGTGATTCAAATTCTTTTCGTAATGATCGACTCATATTGTTAAGCACTAGAAGAAAAATGTCGGCATTATTTGGGCGACTTTGATCAGCACTGAAAAGAAGTCATGGTTATTAATTATATCAGTTTATTTAGTTAAAATTAAATGATAAAATTTTGTTTTTTTAATTTTATAAATTAATTTTTCTTTACCTCAGATACATATGAAGAATTTTATCATTACATGTGATAATTATTATTTTTCGTGGAACTTTAAGCCAATTTTGTACATCATTACTAATAATCGTACAGACTTCATGACATCGATCTCGAATTGATGAATTCATATGAAGATATTCACAACTCTAATTTGTTTTTTTTAAAGAAAAGAATCAATACAAGATAAAAAATAATATGTATCATACCTCAAACAGAATAGATTGATTAGTTGTTATATTGTTGAGGAAATATTGTAGTGTAGAAGATATTCGATTTATTAATTGATCAGCAACATTATAATATCTATTATAAAAATCATGTTGATTTTATACAGAAATGTAGAACAAAAATTAGAATATTTTCATTATTAAAATGATTAGTATTGAATCTTAGATAATGACAATAGAATGGATAGTCATCATTAAAAGTAGTTTTCAAAATTCGTCCGAAATAGTAAATGTATCCTGTAAAAAATATGTAGCAATTGATCTTTCCTTTTAAAAGATATAAATTGCTGCCAATGTCTGAGTTGAACAGTGTTTTGTTAACCAAAAATTATTCTTTTTTCCTCGGATTTGTTTATATTATCAATGAGAAAATATTCATTGCAATGTACTACCCTATGTTTAGAGAAAAGATGAATGACATACAAATGAACCATTACATTCTCTTCCATCATAGTTCGTGACATGATGAAGCTATGTAATACGATCTTTAGAAGAGAGATCATTTTGCGTGACAGTCATGTGTTTAATATCTTATATTCTTCATTTTATCAACAGGAAATTATTTCAAAAAAATGTTCAATACAAATATTCTTAATACAAGGAAATTACATAACCACTTACATAAATGGCAAAACTCCAATATGAAATTTAATTAATGCTTTTAGTAGATTAATTGCTTTAAGTATCACTATTGTATCGAATGATTTATCAGCCATACATATTAAATTATTTTCTGCAATCTAGTGTTATTCAGAGAAAAGACTTCATAGATGATGTAGTTAGAAAAAATTGTAAATTATACCTGATCAAAAAAAACTTGTATACCCGACTGAAGTGTTATTCGACGAATAGGGTCATGACGTGAGGATGTTTGTTCATGAACTCTGACCAATACAGATAAATGCTGGGATATAGCATCATCAATTGATAATGTAAGTTCATCATCATCATTATTATTATTATTGACCTTTTATTATTTAAAAGATGAATTTAGTGTCTAGAAAAATTAAAATAATCTTACTTGATTATCTTCTGTAGGGTCATCATTAAGTTGATAACCTCGAGTTTTAAAACATTGTGTTAAGTATTCATATAAATCATCAGTTAAAAACCGATAAATAACTGATGAATTTGTTCCAAAAACAAATAGTCCAAATAAACAACTTGTGACCATATTTTTGTGTTTTTGAGAATAGACAAAAAACATTATCTTCTTTAGAGAAAGATAACAGGTGTTCTCATATCGATGACGTTATTTGTATTTACACAAGAAAAAAATTTCTATTGACGAAATGAATCAACGAACTTTATATAAAAAGAGTTTATAAAATTGTGACTATTTTTAAATGAAACATAGTGTTTGCAATATGTACATGACGCTCATACCCACAGTCTATTTTTAAATAACTGATTTCAACATTTCATCTGAATTTTTCAGTTTAAAATACCCTAAATGTAACAAAGACTCTGGAAAAAATCTAAATTCTGCAAATATAAAGAATATATTCGATGGAATCGGCATTTTTAGAAGCCATTTATCATTGGTGTACGTGATAGCTTACGATATTATCAGGAAGTCGTTTAAGATGGGTATGAGTGTTAGCGTTTGTTCTCCAACCACACTCTCGTCGGTTGTTTCATTGACTAACTATTGTTCGGCCATTTCATGTATACTTGAAATTGAATTGTGCCATTCTCTCATTTATTCAAAGTTTGTATAGATTGAGATGTAGAAATGTTACTAGTCTTCAGATTCTCAACATGCAACATCTTGTTTACTTGTATTTCAAACATTTTGTTTATATTAGTATGGCTTACGCAGAGTTAATGAAAGTGATACACAATTAAAAAATGACCAAACCTAATAGTTGCCAGCAAGGATTACAAAGAATAAATGTGCTTTCGTCATAATTACCAATTGAACAGCTGTCCACTGTAAATGAAAAGCAAACTTTTATCACATTCAAAAAATTTGCACATTACTGTTGAATATAATCACAAATTGACCATGCACATGAATTCATCGGTCACAAAACACAAGAATTAAATTGATTATAAGCTAGATTCTTTATTATAATAATACCATCTAAACTTCTTAGATCGGTATTAAATTCATCAAGAAACACACGATGATACAATCTCTTGGTTAAATTTTTCAACTATTTAAAAAAAACGACGTCACAGGACTACTTGGTCGATGTTGTTGTAGCAGGTAACATCATTGGTTTATACTACTGATCTTTTGTCGAATTTTTGTCTTATGTGTCTATATCAGTCTGTAAAGACCATTGATTGACCAAAATAAGAAATCAAGTTATCGTGGCCTTGTTTAAAACTTCTCAGATCCAGTATTCTATTAACGACTTGCTACAAGTGACGATGATATTTACCGTAGGAAAAACCTTATGTTTCACGGGAAATTCACTCGTCAGTTTTGAAGATAAATAAAAATAGGACTGAATAGGTGACCTGTAGCAATAATTACCGGTATCATTGTATAGGAACATGTGGTAGAATTCAAAGACTTCACCAAAACATTTTGTTGTCTCCTATTACATATGACAACGTACGATACAAAGTCATCTCGTAATTGAACCTTGTTTGGTCTGTATTTAAAACAGAGTTCAAGGTATACTTCAGTATAACTTTTCTCACTTCTTCAACAAAGTCGTCATCAGTTTTTCTTAATCTGGACTTTGTCAACAACTTCACATCTAGAAACAGTTTTTGTAACTTTTCTCGAAGAAATGCCATTACATCGTTTGAAGTTGAAAAAATAGTGGACACTTCTTTTAAATTTATTTAGACTGTCTATTTTCGTCTGGATCAGGAGTCTAGCGCTGAATGTCTAGGTCGTGGACAGGTAAATACTCAGTGCAAGCAATTTCAAACTTGTTGACCACGAATGCTTCGATACGCTGAGATTTATGCAAACGGGTTTCACTATATTCGTCTATTCTCATAATATTTTTAGTTCTTATCGATCTTTCACCCAAGGGTATGCATATTGTATGATTTTAAAGACGGCACTTGGACAGGCATAGTTAAGTACTTTCTTCATTATTTATTCTAGACTGAACAAGTCACTTTCAACTTCGCGCTCTTCTTCATTGTCTATTGATTCCAAAGCGTAGTCATGGTTGGCGTCATTGTAGACGAACAGTTCGAGAAACTCTTCTGTCTCCGTATCATAATTATCACTGATGGAAAGTTCTTGTAATAGATTAATCGGATAGGCTGCAATTGACAATTCTTTCTTAGTGATATTTGAAGACTAGAGATTTGACTTGGACAGTGCGTTCTCAACTACAAGTCTAGCGATATCTATCATTGCGAAACAAACATGGAATGGTAAAGAAAAAATCAATCAAATAACAATTCATTTTCTTAATACAAAACAAGAGGATAGAAACATGAGTGTTTCCTAAATATGAATTTCCCTCTGTTTCTTCGTCGAAGATTATGCATGAGTTACACAACAATGTAGTAGAATTCATGAGACGCGCTCGTTTAAAACATGACTAATCCATGTTTTTGGCATGTTTTCGAGGTGTTTTCCGTCAATGTTGCAACAATCAAACATTTAGCATAAAAAAAATTTGATTCTAGATAACGAGCTACGAAAAGACTCAAGTTTCCAACAAAGAAATCTAGTACTCGATCTCATATAGCACAGGGAGCAATGCCCGTAGCATCTGAATCTTTAAAGTGAAATAACATGTGTCATACAGTCATTGAAACATTTTCGAACCAAGCGTTGTAATTTGTTGAAGAATTAGTGATAATGACGTGTACAAAAGAAAGATTGATTCAGCTAATTCGGGTTTATCTAACACGAGAGGATATACAATCTAGTGTAATGCAATTAGATAAATGAAACTCATTCACTTAAAACAATAATTTTGTTGAGATCTAACGTTTTCAAAAGTGTCTCAAAATGAATTTTTCAGACTCAAAGTTGGCCTAGCTCTTCAGCAGCAAGATATGAGGAACGACTGGTATATATTCTATTTGAAACCATGCGTAGCACGTGAGGTCATTCTCTCGTTGGACTATTCGAAAATTTTCCTTTCCTTTACTTGGTCGACATGTTGTTGATTAGACGAAGAACAGTTTATTTGTTTTTGTTATGTATTTCAACGCTCATTATTCAATCTTCGTTTCCCAATATCACTCAAACTTAACTGTAAGCATGGTTGAAACGATAAATCAAGAGGTAATGATTATATTAACAGGCAAAATTGTGTGAAAAAAATTTTCAGTTGATTCCAAGAAAGTAGCAATGAATCTTGACAGATCAGAAAATGTTAATGATTCATCAGCGAAAAGTCGAATAGAAAATGAAAACAAATCCAACGAAATTTGTAATTGAGAGTCGCTTAAAAAAATCTTCGTCGCATTAGCAATTGAGAATTATCTGTATCGATTCACTAGAATGCACATGCAATTGAGATTATTTTTAGGAAACAAATAATTACTGTCAATCATCAAACTTCAGCTATCGGAGAGAAGCTGATAGTGTTTATTCCAAAGTAAATATGATATTAAAGTTGAATAATAGTTAGAAATCAATCAAAGAAGTAAAAAGAAAGAGTGAGATAAAAGATCATTGGGTATATGAGAAATGAAGCTGTCCGTGTCCTTGACACATACGAGAAGCATGAAAAAGAAAGCATTGTGTCCTTGTATTGAAATATCACATGACGATGTGGTGATATTGACAGGAGACACTAAATAAAATTATACTCATAAGTAGATTCATAGCGTTGACGATCGCGGCATTGATCACATTTGCTGTAGAACCTATAAATATTAACAAAAAAAGTGAGACATGTATTATAACTTTTTTTTCTGCAAGAATTGTTCTTGTGTTTCAAACGAGTTTTGTTCACTTAAGTGTACATTTGACTAGTTTCCGAGCACAGCAATCTACTTAACCAAAGTTGAAAAATCATTAATCTCTGAAGTAGGACGTTTTGATAGGACTCAATTTGATATAGTTAAGTTACCATTAATCCTTATGCTATACATGCTATCCTACTATCTTTTTGTTTAGGTGATTCAGTCAATGGATTCTTACAATCGTATTTTTACCGTACTATATTCGAAAATGGATATAATAAACCGAGAAAAAAGTTTTTCCAATTAATCAAGTTTTACATCATGCCTGACGCACACTGCGACTTTAAGCTAGTATGTACTTGGTAGCGAGTCATTAATACAGAATAGCTCAAGAATAATTTTACTCAAAGATGTTGAATATCCTCGTCTTAATTCGTTTGAATTGATTAAATCTTCGACTGTTTATAAGCTAGGCATGTCGTGTACTTAAATGTAGGTGAGGTATGATTATTTGTTTTTATCGCAGTCAAACATTATATTTGCAACTATTCTTATTTCAAGTACCACTCATGAATATTTAACTTGAATGTTAGTTAAGGCTTCCCTCAAAAATCGATCTCAGTTCAGAAACGTTCAAATCGCATGAAATTTTCAGGATACGTCGGAGCTGTAGTGGATAAGCTATGATCAAATTTTCAGTCCGATATCATGACGTTTGACAGAGATATTCACCAAACAAGGGTCAAAAATAGCTGATCTGGCATCCAAAATTTCTCTGTCCGGACTCATTCTATGTATTTAATTATTATTGCTTGAATGAGCATGCCAGAATGCAGGGCATGACTGAACCCTTTCTTTTAAATATTTACTTTTTAAGTATAACAAAGGGGTCACAAGTTCCATGACTAAAAACTCTCTAAAAATGGCGCTCTAATTATGTAAGTGTTTATATATGTAATAAAAACAAAGTTTAATTTAAGAAAAGACTCCCGTCATGTCTTGCATCTTGACATGCTCTTTGAAACAAAAACAAATTTAAATATATAGTACGAGCTTAGAGACAGAAATTTTGAATGCACGATCAAAAAGCTAGAAACTGAGAAAGAACGAAAAAGATTTTCGGTTTTTTTTGTAAAAACAGATTATTTTTCTAATAGGGAATGGCTAAAATCTTCAAAAATTTTTTGGAAAAGAGGAGGTGCTGAGTAAAAATTTTTGTCGTTTATGACTGATCAGATAACGAGCTATCTTCCCATACATTTATCTCAATTTCGATCACTCTGACGAACAGTAACTTTTTTTGAGGAGAGAAGCCTTAATCAATCTGACAGC